AAAACGTGAAACTTGTACATTATATTCATGCAATGCACACAGACCAATGTATTTCCGATGTTTATTACGTTTAATTTTGATATTTATAGGTGACAACCAATGAAAACATCAAATCTGGTATCTCAGAAAATTAGAATATTCTAAAGGCCAATGAAAAAATGTTTGTTTCTCTAATGTTGGCCAACTGAAAAGAATGAACATGAAAAGAATGTGCATGTATAGCACTCAATACTTAGTCGGGGCTCCTTTTGCCTCAATAACTGCAGTAATGCGGCGTGGCATGGACTCAATCAGTCTGTGGCACTGCTCAGGTGTTATGAGAGCCCAGGTTGCTCTGATAGTCGTCTTCAGCTCCTCTGCATTGTTGGGTCTAGCGTATTGCATCCTCCGCTTCACAATACCCCATAGATTTTCTATGGGGTTAAGGTCAGGCGAGTTTGCTGGCCAATCAAGGACAGGGATACCATGGTCCTTGAACCAGGTGCTGGTGGTTTTGGCACTGTGTGCAGGTGCCAAGTCCTGTTGAAAGGTGAAGTCTGCATCCCCATAAAGTTGGTCAGCAGCAGGAAGCATGAAGTGCTCTAAAACTTCCTGGTAGACGGCTGCATTGACCCTGGACCTCAGGAAACAGAGTGGGCCAACACCGGCAGATGACATGGCACCCCACACCATCACTGACGGTGGAAACTTTACACTGGACCTCATGCAACGTGGATTCTGTGCTTCTCCGCTCTTCCTCCAGACTCTGGGTCCTTGATTTCCAAAGGAAATGCAGAACTTGCTTTCATCAGAAAACATAACTTTGGACCACTCAGCATCAGTCCAGTCCTTTTTGTCCTTGGCCCAGGCGAGACGCTTCTTGCGCTGTTTCTTGTTCAAGAGTGGCTTGACACACGGAATGCGACACCTGAATCCCATGTCTTTCATGAGTCTCCTCGTGGTGGTTCTTGAAGCGCTGACTCCAGCTGCAGTCCACTCTTTGTGGATCTCCCCCACATTTTTGAATTGGTTTGTCGTCACAATTCTCTGCAGGGTGCGGTTATCCCTAGAGCTTGTACACTTTTTTCTACCACATTTTTTCCGTCCCTTCGCCTGTCTGTTAATGTGCTTGGACACAGAGCTCTGCGAACAGCCAGCTTCTTTAGCAATCACCTTTTGTGTCTTGCCCTCCTTGTGCAAGGTGTCAATGATTGTCTTTTGGACAGCTGTTAAGTCAGAAGTCTTCCCCATGATTGTGGTGCCTTCAAAACAAGACTGAGGGACCTTTTAAAGGCCTTTGCAGGTGTTTTGAGTAAATCAGCTGATTAGAGTGGCAGCAGGTGTCTTCTATATTCAGCCTTTTCAGAATATTCTAATTTTTTGAGATACCAAATTTGGAGTTTTCATTAGTTGTCACTTATGAATATCAAATTTAAATGTAATGAACATTGGAAATACATTGGTCTGTGTGCATTGCATGAATATAATGTACAAGTTTCACGTTTTGAATGGAATTACTGAAATATTTTCAACCTTTTGATGATATTCTAATTTACTGGCCAGCACCTGTATGTTGGCCAAGTGGACGTTGTCAATCATGTCTCAAATACAATAAAGTCAACTGCACAACAGGATAAGTTTCTCACGCTTTATCTGCCGTACAGTAAATCTCCGCTGATGCAGTATGATGCTGAGATCCACTGTTTTATCTGCCTAAAATGTCAGAACAGGACTGGTGAAAAAAAATGCTTTTATTTATGAAGAGTTGCACAATAGATGCAAGTAGAAAAGAACAGATAAACTAGGGCTGATTTGCATTGACACAGATCTCCTGGTTGGAAAATTCTGAATTTTTATTTATAAACTTGAAGTGTTACAGAAAGTTTGCTCTGCCGTTAATTTCCACTGCAAACAGACAAAATCCTCTACGTAAATAACTTTATTATTAATACATCTTTTGGGATTAGAGTTGTTTTAAATTGCATTAACCCTGCTGTTTTTCAAAGAGCTTTGTGTCTACAAGTAAGCTATTTTTCAAAACCAACTACAAATGATCTGATCTGTCACTTAGTTAAAGAATTGAAATGTAAGATACATTTCAGTCGAAGTGACTTTCTTTAGATTTGTCACATGAGCCAGATTTATACACTATATTTAAATCTGATGCAACAAATACCAAGTTTGTTTACCTGTTCTAAACCTGTTAGAAAGTCCGGCAAATTAAACGCCTAATTGTGTAGTTATGGCTGAACTGGTAACCATTACCTACAGCGAGGTCCGAGTAAACGTCCTGCCGTAGCCGAAGTGCACGAACAATACTTCCTTTGTACTTCAGCTCTGCTGAATTCCAGCAACAACACGCCTCCAAATCTACCGGCTGTTGTCACGGCAGCAGCGTGTGGACTATACTTGACTCTGTTGTTGCGTACCTCCTATAAGGCAGGGACTGACGTCATGTTTATATCCAATTATTTTGTGCAAATAATTAAAATTCACTTCAAATGAACTCCATAGAAAATGTTATATGTGGGAGAAAAATATCCAACTCAATTATAGTTTCAAAAGTTGCTTTAGTAGAATAAATAAAACATTTTCAAATGGTACTAGTTTGTTTCTTTAAAAAAATCAGCTTTTAAGTGTATTGAATTGGGCCGAGTCGTCCTCCTTTCTAATCAAAGTCTTAGAACAACAGCAGATGTGACTTTAAGGAACAATGATGTTAAGCTCAAGCCATCTTTCACTGCCAATAGCTGAGATTAAAATGTGAAATCTATCTTGAATTTATTCTAACAAACGCATACCATGTGCCAGAGCTATTAGGATATTCATGCACCGCTGGCTGTTTTCAACATCGAATCTGCCAAACCAACTCATGTTTTTAAGAACAGGGCAGAATTATAATTAGCCTCGGCTGTGTGGCCAGCAAAGAATAGTGAAAATAGCCAAGTATGGATTAAATGGGACAAATATACAGCTGCAACTTTCATTGTTGATTAAATGTATTAGTTATTGGATTTGGGATCAAAACTTTGCAATTAAACTGTATAAATGAAGGCGAAACTGTGTAAATTTCTTATTATAATGATTTCATAGTTGACATTTTTACCTAAATTTTTATTTGAAAATTTTCAGGAAAAATACATGTTTCTTGCAGTTGATTAATTGGTCAACTAATCCTCCCATCTCATTAAGCTAAAATGGCAAATTTGGAAAACAAATGACCTAAAAACACTTTTTTTAAGCTTCTTGGCAACATTCTAACATAATACAGCTATAAATATATTGTGGAGATTTTAATTTTTTTTTTAAATAAATCAATAAAAAAGTGGTTCTCTTGCATTTGTCTAAAACCTTCCCTAATAACACGTTTCGGACCAAAGCAACTATTGCACCATCCAGTTGTCGGGCTCACCGATGTGCCACGCTTCCCTGGGTCCTCCACTCATTATGCACCCACGTATTTAGCAACAAAACACCACTGGTGTGGAAGGTTCGCATAATACAGCCGGCTGATACCACTTCAACTTTAGGACAAACTACCGGAGACCCAAAAAGAAAAACAACATTTGAAGTTACGGACAATAAAAGACGTTTGGACTCAGAAAAAGGCGACTGGCGTTTAGCACTATCTCGTTTCATCCAGAGCCGCAGGTTTCCGGTTCAGGAAAGATACCCGAGGGGAGGGGTGAGCGTTCTGTGACCTAGCTTGTTCTGTAGATTTACTATAGCAGCTTTAACATTTGCTTTCCAACGAATACTGTGAAGACACTGAACCCATTATTGTCCTTAATACATTTTTAAATTTTATAGTGATCTGTTGCAAAATGACCCATTTAAACAACAAAAAAATCTGACAAAAGGAATTTCCCGTTGAGTTCTTTCCTGTGTTTGACACCTAAAAAGTATCCATCTACAACAAAGACATGAGGATTCTTCCAGAAAGCCAAATGGGCAACAAGTGGCTGACATATTTCAAAACCTTGACATTTAGGAGGCCGTATATCACCAAACTTTTGTTCCCACTTCTTCTGGCAGCAAAAGGGTGGGAAAGGAGCACAAACTTTTCTTTATTCTACCAACAATATGTGTCATGAACAACAAATATAATGACTAAGAACCAATCTGATTCTAACTTATATTTAACTGCCTTTTACAATTTTACCCAGATTTACATTAAGATTACATAATTGCAATCTGCATGGATGGAGAACTAAAAGATTCCCTGACATCCCTCTGTCTGGGACAAATGGTGCAACAAAAACAGGAAAAGACTAAAACAAGCAGTGACTGACAGTGTTACAGATCTGATGCTGATGATTGCAGAGCAGGCTTTCTCTGTTATCTTTAGCTTGATTTATCTCACAGGCATTCAGCATGTTCTCCTACTTTGCACCTGTGTCCTCATTTCCATCAGAGGAACTGTCCCGAGACTCCAGAATACAACAAAATCACTCACTTGTGGATGTATTTAGCCCACAAGGACATCAAAACAGTGTATCTATATGACGCAGAGCCTTTTTTAAATCAGATTTCCAAAAAAAAAAAAAATTCTGGAATTCTAATGTGGGAATAATGTGAAAATCTGCAAGAAAGTGTGACTTTGAAAATCCTAATACAATCATGCCATACATCTCTGTCACCACATGGTCCCACCCCTCTCCTGCAACCTTTACAGTCTCACTCACTGCCACACACACACACACACACACAAGTCTGCACACCTATCTGATGGTGAGAGTAGAGGTCCTGCATGGAGGATGTGAGATGAATTTTAATAGCTTTCTTCCTGTCCTGCATGGCATGCCACTTTCCAATTCACAGTGAAGGCATGGATGATTGGTTTCACCCTCCCAATAAGATCTCTGTGCGGGGATCCGTGTGCCATGGTGTGTTTTATTCACTTGTTCAGCAAAGATCAAGCATATTAAAACAGCAGAGTGGCAGAAGAGAACAATCAGCTGTTTTAGGGGTGATTTGTTACATAATCAAACAAACAAAAAAAGAAATAAATGCGCACTCACTTGATGAAGTAACTGGCTCCTTCCTCTGTGAAGCCCTCTTCCCATCCTCTTGGCAAATCTAAAAGAGCAACATACCGACTGAAGGCACACTGCAGCAGCGGAATCATCGCCTGAAGCCAGCAGATCAGAGGATTTTGCCTCCTACCTGACCGGATCATGTGCCCCGAGTTAACTGGTTCGCCTGAGCGTGGATGGAGCCAAGTAGTGCTGCGACTTTTATCGCTGCAATCAAGAAACAAGGACACCTGTTACTGGAGATTAATCCCTAAAAACTGCTGGACTGAAGAATAAAACTTCCACTCTGTGTCGTAAAAGTAGCCTAAAAAGTGGCTCACTGGATAAAGAAGACGCGTCCGTCTCTGCAAACTCCGTAGGACCAGTGGTCAGGTAGGGTGTCCCGTCCGAGTGGTGCCGCCATGATCCCTCCGCTCCGGCTCGGCTAGTGGCCCCCCTTCTCTCTCTTTCTGCTCCGCAGACTTTCTCCATGGAGCCCAGATTATACCCGCACCGCCAGGGCAGCGTGCTTTTTAAAGGGGACGGATCCCAAAGTGAGCAACACCCTCCCTCAGAGCACCCAGACTGGTTCCCACATGGAGATCAAAGCGCAGGCATGCACAATAACAGAACAACAGAGGCAGATTTTACGCAGTTTGGTCACATGCCTGCATGAATCAACACATGCAACTCCCATTTGTGTTACACAAGCCCAAAAAATTTTACATAGAACATTTAAAATGTTAATAAATGCAAATAATCAGTTTTTTTTACAATAAACTAAAAATAGATACTAGTAAAATGTTATATCAGTCATCCTAAAACATCTTCATATTTTCAGCATGGCCTGCCAAACTCGTCCTCTGTTTAATTCGACTAATTCAGGCTATATTTTCACACAATATGTAAAAAAAAAAAAAAATAAAAATAGCAAAAGACCCATAATTGATTTAAAAATTTGCATTTCATGAATTTACATCAAGCAGACTAAGGGTCTTTAAATCTTTACAATGAATTTAAATATAAAAATCTATTTTGTATGCTGTTTTATTATTATTATTATTAGTAGTAGTAGTTGTTGTTGTTGTTATTGACCCTTTATACACTCTCAGTGGGTAGTGACACATTAAAGTCCAAAGTAATGCTTATTTGCAAATATATCATCAACACACACAACTTCTGAATAACTGTCCACTAAAATGAACTCATACATACAAACAAACCATCCCTCTGTATCTATGCCTCTCCTCACTCCTGCAAAATTGTGGTTAACAATTAATATCTAGTACATCTACTTAACCCTTATATAACCCTTTAATTTTCTAACGTTTTTGTCATTTGAGCACAAAAATGCACTAAGGTCATGTAAGGGTTAAACGTTAGAAAAGATTCAGTTTCTCAGTTCATCACTGCTGCTAGTCCTTAGATCCCTTGTGACATTAAGACTATCTGTGTTCCACAGTCACAAATAACATGGAAGTATAAAAAATGGTCTCTGCTGTCACAGCAAACTATTGTAAGCAGCTCAGAATACTCTGAGAAAATGTCTTTAGGAACACAATCTTCTGGGAGGTAAACAAAGAGTTAACTTTAGACTCCAATAAGCTTTTCAGTCGTTTGAAAAGGAATGTTTTCAAGCCTCTCTGTTAAAATAACACTGGGGAAATAGTTACAACAGAATATAAAACAGTATAAAAACAAAACAGAGATGGAATTAGCAACCTAGATTTTAGTTCAGAGTAGCACTTCTATGTTCCCATCTCTGCATCTGGGGGTATAGTATTCTGCTCAAGGACTCTTAGCATCATGTAGGAGCTGGGACTGAATCTCAAGTTGCTGAAGTTGTGAAGCCCCCCAATAAGATGGAGAGTATAATCCCTCCAGTGAGTTCTGGGTCTCCGCTGAGGTCTCGTGTGCCCGGGACACCTCCAGAGAGGAAGGCAATCATCTGATACTTAATCACTTCATCTCACTGCTTTTGATGCAAAGGAGAATTTACTCCATCCCCCAATGATGCAGTTACATACTCTGGTAGCTTAAAATCATGAAAGCTGTGTCTGATTAGAACAGCATGACTCAGCAGAAAAGTTTTAAAATTTCTGAGCAAGAAAGAAGCTGGGTGATACATCTACCGGTAATTCCAGAATATTATTATTTGTGTTGCTCCCAGCCCTTTTACCCAATCAGCTGATCGGTCCGTGCAGAGTCTCTTTTGGGAGTGTAATCTCAAACAGACAAGAGCTGAAGCAAAATGTGTTTAAAACCGATGTTATGAAGAGATTATTTTGCATAACAATGCTGAGTCTATGTGTTTGGGGTAGAGTGTCCTCATGTCTATGTGCATCAGCTGGTCTCACTGCATCCCTCTTTGAGGACAAAAGACCAGCCTGACCATGACACGTGACACTATTGCTTACTTTGCACTAAACAGACTTATCCAAATTCCCTGTACTGTCAATACATTTCCCTTTAGGTGCAGATGATTTTCAAAGCCCCAGTAGGATGTTGTTGCTACAGAAATTAACACAGAGGTTTCACATCATACAGCTGAGCTCTCTTACTGTAACAAACACAATCTGATATCCTTGTTTTTACATTTTTGTGACACTGTCTTTGTAAATGGAAGAGGATTTGCAAGAATCTCAATAAGCTTTGAATAAAAAAACTAGATTTTTTAAAAAGCCCTGAAGTTTGCTGAGATCTTGATCAACTGCTCCAGTAGCTGATTTATTTTATTTTATTTATTTTTTTATTTTATGTTTTATTTTTATTCAATAATTTCATGACAGTGGGGTCAGAGAATGAAGATGAACAAAAACTGAATATAATTTTATTTTTTTGGAGGGAGGTGACTTTGTTTTTGGTGTGTTCTTGCTGTGTTGAAATTCTAATTCCATCTTTTAGTTCTTTTTAAAACACAGAGAGGTTTTATTTACCTGCAACGTTTCGTTTGTGGCTGCCGCACAAACGTACAAAAGATATCCAATAGCAGGCTTGTATCTATTAGCTTAGTTAAATCCAGGTGGCAACGTTTTTTTGGCCATGCAATGTATCTCTCAACTGCAGTTAAGCTGAAAAGTAAAAAGAAAAAAAAACCTTAGATAATTCCACATACAAAGGCTGAATAAACACAATCAGTCATTACCTCTGTTAAAAGAACGCGGTGCGTTTCTAAAGGACATTAGTTGTGTTTTTCATCTTTTACGTTCACAGTCAGTATGTTTCTCATATGCTTTAATTTTGTTCTCCAAACTAACTGTCAGGCATAAAATATAGGTGACAATATCAAATAAGCATGCCCAAGTGCCTCAGACTGAATGAGAGAAATATTTTGGTGATGCAGTGCTCGGTGTCAGCGCGTGGCAGTGAATGAAGCGGATGCAAGGATCCATATGCGGGTGAGGGAAGCAGGTAAGCAGGCACACAGGAACGATTAAAGGTTTTAATAGAGAACACGCTAACATAGAAACAATGATCCAACAAGAGACACTGAACTGAAGGGGTTTAAATACAAGAGGGCTGGGAGCTTGGGTGATTGGGAAACGAGAGGCAGGTGGGAACAATTAACATGGACACAGGACTGAACAGAATGGGGAGACAGGACAGGGTGTGACAGTACCCCACCTCAAAGGGCGGATTCCAGACGCCCACAGGAACTTAGAGCAGGGCGGGAGGAGGGGGACCCGGAGGGAGGGCCGAGAGGGACCGAGGGACCGAGGGACCGATGGAGAGGAGGCAGGGACCAGTAGAGTCTGGGGGCCTGCGCCTGGGGCAGAGGAGGAGGCGACGACGGGCTCTTGAGGGCCTGCGCCTGGGCCAGAGAAGGAGGCGACGACGGGCTCTTGAGGGCCCGCGCCTGGTGAGGGCAGGACTGGCGGTGGCCGGAGGCAGAGACGCCGGAGGACACGTCCTTGACTTCTGGACTGGAGGCGGCGGCGACGACCTCAGGGCTGGAGGCGGCGGCGACGACCTCTGGGCTGGAGGCGGCGTCGTCGACCACTGGACTGGAGACGGCGTCGGCCACGGGACTGGAGACGGCGTCGGCCACGGGACTGGAGATGGCGTCGGCCACGGGACTGGGGACGGCGTCGGCCACAGGACTGGAGACAGCGTCGGCCACAGGACTGGAGACGGCGCCGTTGGACTGGAGGGCGCGTCGACCTCTGGACACGAAGGAGCGTCGACCTCTGGACTGGAAAGAGTGTCAACCTCTGTACTGGAAAGAGTGTCGACCTCAGGACTGGAAAGGGCGTCAACCACAGGACTGGATGGGGCGTCGACTTCAGGACTGGGGGCATCGACCTCCATCGACTTCTGGTCCGGGGGCGTCAATTTCTGGTCCGTTGACTTCTGGACCGTCGACTTCTGGTCCGGGGGCGTCGACTTCTGGTCCGGGATCGTCGACTTCTGGACTGTCGGCTTCTGGACCATCGGCTTCTGAACCGTCGATTTCTGGACCATCAACTTCTGGTCCGGGGGTGTCAACTTCTGGTCCGGGGGTGTCAACTTCTGGTCCAGGGGCATCGACTTCTGGTCCGGGGCGTCGGCTTTTGGACCGTCGGCTTCTGGACTGCCGGCTTCTGAAGTGGAGGAGGAGTTGCTACAGACGGCACTGCTTGGACAGGCTGGACCGGATGCGGTGCGACCTCCGGGACCACCACGGGAACTGGATGTGGTGCACCCACCGGGACCACCGCTGGAACAGGATGTGGTTCGACCTCTGGGACCACCGCTGGAACTGGATGCGGTGCGACCTCCGGGACCACCGCTGAGACAGGAGCTGACTGAACTGGTGGTGCCGGAAACTGGGAAAGCAGGGAGGATAGCTTGTCCAGCTGGAGCTCCTGGAGACTGAGGCTCTGATGGAGTTGGGCCAGCTCAGCTCGGAGACCGGCGAGCTCTGCTGGGTGGACTGCGGGCTTGATTCGTTGGCCAAGAGATGAGGGAGCTGCTGACTGGACTGAAACATTCTCCTGGTGACTCAGGGAGGATAGGGTGTCCAGCTGGAACTCCTGGAGGCTGACGGATCTGGCCAAGCTCCGCCTGGAGACGGGCGAGCTCTGTCAGCTGGGCTGTAGGCGTGGTTCCTCTGCCTGCAGATGACGGAGGCGCTGATTGGACCGGAGACGGGACTGCTGGTCTGACTGGGGGCAGGTCCAAGCTGGTGCGCCGAGCCGGGGCAGCGGCAAGCTCGCGGCTCCGTCCTGGGACACGGGGTTGCGGTGGAGCCCGGTATCCTTCCCCACGCCGTGGGCCAACTCCGGGGTAGCACACCGCCAGTCTGGTGCCCACGTAGCAGGAGCGGTCTGGCAGCGTCTCCCGGTCCAACCTCTCATCTGGCTCCGGGAGGGTGGAGAGGATCGCCAAGGCTGAAGTTCGGTGGCGGCGTCTGCGGTGAGGCGAAGCCGGAGGAGGAGAAGCCGGCCGGTGGTCCGAGGAGAGAAATTGGAGCAGGCACTCCCAGGGGAGAATCTCCCCGCTGGATCCTTTAGTAGGTTGGATCATTCTGTCAGCGCGTGGCGGTGAATGAAGCGGATGCAAGGATCCATATGCGGGTGAGGGAAGCAGGTAAGCAGCTACACAGGAACGATTAAAGGTTTTAATAGAGAACACGCTAACATAGAAACAATGATCCAACAAGAGACACTGAACTGAAGGGGTTTAAATACAAGAGGGCTGGGAGCTTGGGTGATTGGGAAACGAGAGGTAGGTGGGAGCAATTAACATGGACACAGGACTGAACAGAATGGGGAGACAGGACAGGGTGTGACACTGCACTGTTAGAGTATATCAGTAAGGAAATGGCACAGATCTGCACCATCAAACACTTTTTTAATTATTCGGAGTCGGAGTCATTTAGTTATCTCATCAGTACGTTACATGTGTGAGCAACTGGCTGCATAACCCCATCCTATTTGCAACATAAAGGGCAGAGCAGCATGAACATTATATTATATTTACTGCAGCGTAATCATCTTGTTGCTGCTGTTATTTGGCCTTGCTGTGATTTATCAGTTCCACAGTACAGAGCTCCATTCTGACATACTAATCTATTCAGATAAGTAGACACATGGTTGTTGCACAGTCCAGTGCAGCTCTGCAGTAGAGCCTCTGCTGCTGGATCCTGCCTCTTGGCTGCCAGAGGTCCACAATGCAGCAAGGTGACTCAATGTTATCGTCTTCTCCTCTGAGAGTCTCTTCTCGCTGATTCACGGCTTCACAGGAGGTGCTCAGCAGAAAATGAATTATGGATTACTTTTACTTTGATTTTAGGCTGAATGATTCCCAAAATATCTGAGACGAAGCACTCATTCCACCTGTGAGTGTATGGGTCTTTTACAGTGTTTAAATTATTAACACACAGTCTGGGGTAATATTTTGACAGGAATTTATTTTTTTCAAGCATGCAGCACATTTAATCATCCTTGTTGCTGATTAAAACGAAGTGCTGAATGGTCCCATACGCAAGAGCTTTCCCCACTTTCTCATTTGATTATGATTTTAAGACGTTGATTAATTACCTTCCAGCTCATCGGACTATTACACTGACACCTACAGGGCAGGGATGTTATATTTAGTCATGAGCTGGAGAGAAACGAGATTTGTTGTCTGGCTGTAGCTGCCAAGGTTCATACGTATACAGTTTTTACTTCAGCACTCATAATTCCAGTAGAAAGCTAATGTTAAACAATGAAAATAAATGCACATATTTATTAGAGCAAGTGTAACGCCTGCAAAGGAAACAAGGACAATTTCCAAACTCGCTGAATTAGGCTCCCATTTTATAAAGTGCAACATTATTCTGTCTGTAATTAAGCTTTTTTCAACTAGTAAAGCAGGTTTTACACTGGACAAGCACCTTTATGGCTGTTTTATAATCAAGTACTTATTCTGTTTTCTAGCATATTTTCTCAAGTAGATGGACCTATTTTTATCCCCTGTCTTTCTACTGGACCATAAAAGGATGGACTTAGCTGAATAGATGCAACACCGCCCTCTTCTGGACAGAATATGCACTCTTATGTCAGGTCACACTGCTTGAAAGCAGAAAAAAATCAGTAATATGGCTTTGAAAATATATTTTCTTTTAAATTTAATGTCCACGTGTCCAAAACTTTAACAGTTAATGAAACAAAAACACTGTTGACAACCAACCAGAAATCTGTAACAGAACATGAACTGGAAGGATGTGATCTTCTGTAAGCACAGCCACAAGGCTCTATAACATCTCCCCATGAGGCCACTGAGCAGGACATGGGTTAGAGGTGGACCTGGACCCATTAATCACACAGTGCAGCTTTAAAGCTGAACAAAAACCCGACAGCATTGCAGTTGTGAGATTGTGCACCCTTGAACTATTTTTACAAGAAGCAAAACAAAAAAGATCTTTAGAAAACCCACACTGACTTTAGCATATTCTTGTTCTTTCAACGCCTAATAAATGCAGCTACAAAGACTCATGTTGGAGTTTCAGGAGAGTCAAATCATAAAAACGGTACCCTATCAAGTATTTTTAATTTATGTAATATATACAAACATATTTTTGAAAAGGGCTTAAAAATGATTTGTGAAACAACATAAAATCTGAAAATCTTTCCTTAAATAAAAAAGTTAGTTCTTAATCTTTAGTTTTTATGCATTTTTATGTTGTGTATTGTTTTAATGTTTTCAATGAAGCACTTTGGTCGGTTCTATACCGTTGTAAGGTGCTACACAAATAGTTGCCTTGCCCTAAATCCTTCTGAATTGTTCTTAAAAATGTTAGCACCTACGTTTAAATTATTTATTTGTGCTCATGAAGGAGCAAACCCATTCATACGTTTTCATGGCATTGTTTTTTTTTACTGAAAATATAGTTATTAACAAGTATTAAACCAGTGAGGTACATCACAGTGTGTAGTTAATAGTGTTGGGGGGGGGGGGGGGGGGGCTTTCAACACTCTGTGCCCAGAGGCATCTGAAATTTCTGCCCTGCTCTTGACCTTATCTCTTGATCCATAATCGATGTCTGATGAGCAAAAGGAACACGCCCACCCGCTCTTCAGTCAGCTCGCCACGTACGACTCAGTGCAACCGAACCTGCTAGTTACGTTTCTGGAGAGTTTCCGAAATGACCAATCAGATTAGCGCTACGTCTTACGCTAGCTAGCGTGCTTACTAGCCAGTTAGTTGTCAACCTAGCTCCAGCTGTAAGGCAGCAGCGGCAGGGAAGCAGAACAGGTGATGTTCAGGGTTAAAGTAAGTATCTCAGTGACATATAATTGGAGCTCAACAGTGAGGATATAGACACAAGACCTGGTGTCATGGACAAGTTTTAGACTTTAAATTTAAAGCTTAACTTGCTGACAGCACAACCAGTGTCTGGCTTCTTTCTGCCAAATATGTCAGCTAAAGCTAACTCCACCAGCTTCTTTGATATATTATTAGCTAGGCACTCCTGTAGCCAGGCTAGAGAATGGATTTAATCCACAAAAACATACAGAATGTCTCTTCATATGTATTCTAACTACAACGTGCTGTGAAACGTGAACGTTACTGGTTTTTGAAACTAATGTGTTGTCTGTCCAGATGTGCTGGAGCCGGGTTCTTCTCACCGGTTGGGTTCTACTGGTGCAGCTGCAGTGTTTACAGGCAGTTCCTATTGGGATCGATAAGACTAAAATCAAAGAGCCAGAGAAAACCACGGACGGGCCACCAGTGAGTACGGTAAGAAGACACTTCAGTCACACACAAGCAAATAAAAAGGTTCAGGATGATAGTTTAGCAAAAGTTAACAAGTTTTATTTGCGCTGTGAAAAACAAATTAAATACAATATAATTCATGTTTCATTGTTTTAATATATTGGTATGTCATTTAGTAGGTGTTTGGTGTATGTATTTTATATACAGTGTTGGGCAAATTGCTTCAAAACTGTAATGCATTATTTATTACTTGTTGCCCTCATTTTAAAGTAATTCATTACATTACAATATTACTGATTTTAAAATGTAAGGCATTACACTACTTTTGCATTACTCGAAGTAACTTTCACCAAAACAACTTCAATATGAATCTGGTAATGTGACGCTCAGTGAGCTCATGACATATATGTAGAAGGTGATGTGGTGTCTGAGCTAGGATTGCTGTTATAAACAGTCAGATATAATAACAGTGCTTTAAAATGATTGTTTATTAAATAAAAGCAACAACAATCTGTACTCTCAGCACGCTGCCATCTTATATTAACTGAGCAGGGAGTGAGGTGGTTGGGGCTCCAAGCCTATATTTGCCTTGGTCCCCAAATGCTTTGATACGGCCCTGGATGTGGGACTGACTTCTGGGGTGATCTGATTCTATCACATGTAAATATTAAATACTTATATATTATTGCTTTTCACTGGTAAAAATGTCTATTGGGGATAAATCTACCTACTTTTTTCTTTTCAAGCACTTTGTTTTGTTTTTTTGATTTTATTTGAATAATTTCCTGCCCTTTCTCTCTCTAACCTTCCTGCATGCTGCATGTTTTCTCCGTCTTCCAGAAAAACTGTTTCCTAGATTTCCTACTTTCTAACTAATCAGCCAAAGGGATCTAACACACACACACACACACACACACACACACACACACACACACACACACACACACACAAAAGCTTAATATGCGCTGCACTCCAGCAGCAATGAGTTGAAATCACCGGGGCACAGATTATGAACTCAGCGATCGCAAACGAATTACTTTGTTTTGGTGGAGCGATTTTGTGAGTATAACAGCGGCCGCACGCAGGACGCAGCTGGAGTATTTGAGCCATTACCGCTGCGTCCTCTCTGCTCATAGAATGCCCGCAAAGCTGAGTCCATAAATGACGTAATGTATGTAGCTACTGGATCTTTTTTCAGGCTTCCTGTAATTTGAATTTATAGGAAACCCACATCTTGATTCTGGGTTTAAAAATGCATTGTAATTACCGCGTTACTGACAATTGTACCGAGTAAATATTACCATTTTCTTTCCCTGTAATGCCTTACATTACCACATTACAGCAAAAAGCAATGCATTACAGTAATTAATTACTTTTGTACCGCGTTACTCCCAACACTGTTTATATTTTTTCCCATATTTAGTAGTTGGAAGCACCTTATGATGCAGAGACTAAAACGTTAGCACGTTTTTGTTATTACAACTTCAGGCCAAATACAAATGAGCAACTTCAAGGATTTAGTTGTTAGACTTTGATTTTCATCTTTCGATCTCCTGTTTTCTGATGAATCGGCAATCAGTAAAGCGCTTAAAGATTGGCTTCATTCTCCTTTTTAGATTGCTGCAAAAAAAATTGAGTATCATGTGAAAATAGAAGCAGGATTAATTGAAGGTAAAAGTGAATAAGGTATCACCAAGATGATATAGAAATATTTCGTTCAAAACACTTCCCACAAATCTGTTTTTCTTGGTACAGAAGCTCGAGACTGTTGATGCTTTGATTAATTGCTCAAAGAATTGATTTGGACTAACTTAACATTATACTCACAGCGATGAGATGCTTAGAAATTAGGGCTGCACGATATTGGGAAAACCCGCGATATTCGATAACAGTGCTTAATATTGCGATATCGATATTACTCACGATAAATGAACAAATACTAAAGTATGCAGTGTTGATGTCGTCTGGCGTGTGACGTCTGCTCTGGGTTCAAAGCAAACAAAAACGAATGCATGAATTCCATTACAACATAACATTTTTATTGCAAAAATATGCAGCTGCACCTGCTACTGTGTTAGCAGCAAAACAGCAAACTGCATGCATGCAGTTTCTCAGTGACTGTAAAACATCACCTCCACCATAAAACTTTTTCTGATGCTCCAAATACAGAAAAACATCCCTTACCAGGGTTTTCTGAATAAATAAATAAAAATCAGAAAGTAAGTTTAAATGTTAAATAATAGTTAACATCACTTAATGCAACAGCAAATTCTCTCATTGATACTGAATATTTTCTCCACTTATGTGGTTATGATATAAGGCTGTTGCTGCTATTGGGAAGTGAACTGTGCTGGGCCAAACTAGGAGAATATTAAGATTTTTTGAGGGAAAGAGAAAAACAATCGTCTACCTTTCAGAAGAGGAACTGGCAAAAAACTACATGGAAAATATGTCAAAACGTTTGTTTTTAACCCCAAATTGAACAAGTTTCCCTAGACCTTAAAAAGCAGCTCAGATGATGAAACTGCAACTATGATTCTGATAACAAGCTAACAAATTGGACTAGCTCCTCTAAGATAACCGGCTAGCAGAGCTTCTGACTGACAGTTTATGTGCAGCAGCAAATCAACTATCCTGATTAACAAGGTTATAAAAGCTCATAAATGAAAAATCACTTTGATGTGTGGGGGAACTTTTCCAGGCCCTCTTTAGCAGGGTGGGACTGGGAGGAGAGTGCTGTAGCCTTTTAGCTGGAAGCTAACCGGAGCGTGGGGCTAACGGTGGGTTGGTTCACCGGCACGTGTCGGAGTCAGCCCGGTTATTATCAGCTGCTTAAGGACACCGAGCGGAGTCACGTTCACGTTTGAAAGCAGCGCTGATTCCAGAAACCTCAGCACAAAGTGCGTTCGTTAATCTGAGCCAGCATGACGAACAAGGGAACGGCGCCGCTAACTCAGTTCGGGTGTTGCGTTCCACCCATCCTATGGGTCTACGTAGGGGGCGGGCGTATTACGTGAACGGACCCATCTGATTGGCCACATATCAGAAGGGCTACATTTGATTGGTCAAATAATACTTCCGCGTAAAAAACAGAGCTGGTTTACAAAAAGTTGATGTATGACACAAATGGAAATGTTTGAACCAAACATTTATCGCCGTTTTTGACGTGCTTTGCGATGGGCCTATCGCATGTCCTGTTATCGCGATGACGATAATTTTTCGATATATTGTGCAGCCCTATTAGAAATGGTTAATAAATAATTTCATCATCAGAAATCAGATTCGATCATTTATTATGTTATCCAGGTATGTCATCAGTTCTTTGAAGGAAATCTATTTTAATGTATGCAAAGAAACTATAGAAAATAATCACTGTTAGGTTACATGACATGCATTTAATATTTCACTAATGCGAATTTTTGCCCTTTTTAGGACACCGGACTGCACTATGACCGCTATCTCAGAGAAGTCATTGATTTTCTTGAGAAAGATCAGCATTTCAGAGAAAAGCTCCACAACACAGACATGGAGGACATTAAGGTATGCCGTTTTATTTCAGTTTTATGACGCAGAAGAAACGTACTACACATATACAGGTAGCCTTCATTTTGTTTACTGTGAGTAAGGCTTTGTTAGAGCTGAACAAAAGTCATGTTTCCTTTATTTTACTGATACAGCAAGGTAAGCTGGCAAAGGAGCTGGACTTTGTCAGCCATCATGTCCGAACAAAACTTGATGAGCTAAAGCGGCAGGAAGTAAACCGACTGCGGACGTTGATTAAGGCCAAACAAGACCTAGAGGGAGGAAATGGTACGCTGTCCAACACGGCTTGTTTGTTGTTTTTTGATGTTACGAATAATACATAAATTGTTACATGTTAAAGGCTAACTCAGTGATGATAAACATTTCCCCTTAAAAGACATCGCAGTGGACCACCAAGCTCTCCTAAAGCAGTTTGAGCACCTGAACCACATGAACCCACACACGTTTGAAGTTGAAGACTTGGATCGGCTCATTAAATCGGTAAATTCTGTGGGTTTGTTGGTTTTGTTGGGACATAAATACAATCAAAAGGCTTAATGGAAGTGTTATATTTTGTCCTTTTTTGAATGCCAAATGTTTCATGTAGTGAAAACTGCTGGATAATCAATGTTTAATAAGGGTTGTAGAAGGTATTATTGATGTAACAAAAAAAACTAATTATGTAAATAAATTTTTTTTGACATAGCTAAATGGAGCTTAGAGATTTTAAATATCCTCTACCTCATACCACTACTTAGGGATGCAACGATACCACTTTTTTCCAAACCGATACGATACCGATACTTGGATCTGAGTACTCGGCGATACCGATTACCAATACCGATACTTCTACCACACAAAAAATGCAATGATTTGGAATACAGATTTTACTTTCTTCTCTGCTTTCAACAGGAAAAGACTGTGAGGTAGATAAAAAGTAAAATATATGAATGGAAATCATCACAAAACTAAAATATTAGGTGAACAGAAATGACAAGTTACAGTGAAGCCATTTTCAAGCGACTGCATTGGTATCGGTTCCTGGTATCGGTTAACTTTTACCGATACCGATATATCGGCACTGATACCGATGCCGGTATCGTATTGGCGCATCCCTACCACTACTGCTGTTACTTTAGCGTCTAGTGTGGAAAAAGTGTAAATTTAAGATCTGGGCTAAATGTGCTTTTGCATTCTAGAACCCCTTTAGGCCAGGAATATGCTTGCTTTCTTAAAGAGCAAGTCACCCCTACCAGAGTCTAACTCCACTCCCACTTCATGTTTGAAAAATGCAACAAATGCTGTTGCCTGGCAGACCGAGAGGGCGGAGCTGCTAACAAATACACACACACAGGCTCACGACAGCATTGTGACATCATAATGTACCAGTTTACATCATAGCATACCTCTTAGCCAATAGCGGTGGCAGATTTAAATTAAAATACAGTGCAGAGTTTTTACCTGACAACGGCACAACACTTCCAGTTTTAGGCAGAATATTAAAATTTTAACTAAGATGCACCGAAGAGCCAAATTATTGACGACAGTGTCTGCAGCACGATTAGACACTCGTTTAATTAGTTTATCAGCAAAAAAAAAAAAAGTTTATTTGGGGGTGACTTGCTCTTTAAAGCTGTTCTTTAATTTATTGGTATCCAAAAGGAATCCAGGTGAGATCTATAGGAAAATCAACTCAACTACTCTGGAATATAGAAGGATTATGTCTTTATCATTGGCTCGGGGGTCAAACAGTCAAGGATTTCATCTGTTTCCAGGCCACAAAGGATCTGGAGAACTATGACAAAGAAAGACATGAGGACTTCAAGAAGTACGAGATGATGAAGGAGCATGACAGACAAGAGCATCTGAAAACCCTGGATGAAGGCGAGCGGAAGAAAGAGGAGGAGCACTATGAGGAAATGAGGAAGAAACACGCTGATCATCCTAAAGTCAACCACCCAGTCAGTGAAACCTGAAAAACCAACACTTTTTTTATTATTATTTTTCTCATTCTTGGTAAATATTTGTGTGTCAGGTGATTTTTTTAAACAGTTTTAGATAAAATATTTTGCTTTAACGATGTAGGGCAGCCAGAATCAACTAAAGGAGGTGTGGGAGGAAGCTGATGGCTTAGATCCTGATGATTTTGACGCAAAAACCTTTTTCAACTTGCATGGTAAATTCTTACAGATCATCACCAAATAAAATTAGATGATGCTCCTGTGGTTTAGTCCTGTGTGTGTTGTTTTAGCAAATACAAGAATATGTCTTCCATTTAATGCAGATACAAACGGAGACGGATTCTTTGATGAACAAGAGCTCGAGGCATTGTTCACCAAAGAGGTAATTCCAGAGCTGAGAACGCCCGTGTCGATTCAAGGAGAGGATCCACGCTGACTGTTGTCCTCTGTTGTTTCAGCTGGAAAAAATATATGACCCCACTAATGAAGAGGACGATATGGTGGAGATGGAAGAAGAGCGGTTGCGCATGAGAGAGCATGTTATGAATGAGGTACAGCAAGCCAAACTCAGGGCTACAAAGTTCATGTAAAGATTTTCCTTTTTGTTAAATTTGACTGATAACTGTTGTAGTGATTTTTCAGCCAATTTTACTATTTTTGATTAATGATTAATTCTGTACTCCTTTTTAGCTTCAACCTTAAATGAGGCTTATTTTGGTTTTACGGCTAAAAACATGGCCTTAACGTGAGCCGATGTTGAGGAAAATACTTCCAAGTGTAAAGCCGAGAGCTTTAAGGCTTCAGCTGTTCTGTTAATAATATGCACGGATAGTTTTAGCCTATGAGAATATTCAGGGTATCTGCAGGTTTATGGGAGCCAAATTTAAGACTTTTTAAGACCTTTTTTAAGGCCACTTTGACCTAATGTAAGCTTTTTTTTTTTTTTTTCAAATTAAATTTAAACTATAATTTCCAGCTATTGCCTGGAACCGGTGCTAACCACGTCGCGAACGTGGGATTAGCCATCCAGTTACCATAAAAGTTGCACGTCCCCATGGCACAATCTCCCACTAGCTTAACCAGCTAATGTGCTCATCTAAAAATAGCCCCCTTTCACAACCAACTGAATGTGTACAGTTCCGCTTACGCCAATATCATACACAAAAAATGCTGAACACCAACTAGAAATTCATGAAAATTGAAATAAAATAATCTTGTTTATTGGGTCTTTGGTAATTTAAGACTTTTGGAAACTGTATTTAAGTATTATTTGTCATTTTTAAGAATTTTTAGGGCCTTAAATTTAGAAAAGCTAATTTAAGACTTTTTTAAAGACCCGTGGATACCCTGAATATTGCTAAAGATTTAAATCATTGAGTGAGTTGGTTTATGATAAATTGAGCTAATAAAATAAAGGAAAATTCATCTGATTCTGATATCTAATCAGTTATTGTAGTAAGCTCAGGTAACAGTGACGAGAAAATGTAAAAAAGGGTCATTTTAGGACGTTATTTTTAACGAAACTGCAGAAAAGTGCTGAATCGTGTTTAGTTTTTAGAAATCCTACAAATCTTAGGTGTGTTCTTGCTGTGTCTTTCTAAATCCATGCTTTCGTTCTTTTTTAAACACAGAAACAGTTTTGTTTACCTGTTTGTAGCTACAGTTTCGCCGACGGCTGCCGGCTTCTTCAGGCTGACGCTGATGGTGGCGCGTCACTTCCTTCTCCGTTTATCTGCGGGCAGCAGAGGACGTTGTCGCCCTCTACTGCCCGCTCTCCCCTCTCCGACGATGCAGTCCCATGCGTGGTCCAGCGTGTAAACTCCGTCGTCCCTGTTCATGGTCCCACATCCACCACCGAACAACAAAAATACAAAAGATGGATCAAGTAAGCAATCGAGATAAGGAGACGTGGATGTGGGACCATGAACAGGGACAACGGAGTTTACACGCTGGACCACGCATGGGACTGCATCGTCGGAGAGGGGAGAGCGGGCAGTAGAGGGCGACAACGTCCTCTGCTGCCCGCAGATAAACGGAGAAGGAAGTGACGCGCCACCATCAGCGTCAGCCTGAAGAAGCCGGCAGCCGTCGGCGAAATTGTAGCTACAAACAGGTAAACAAAACTGTTTCTGTGTTTAAAAAAGAACGAAAGCATAAATCCTACAAATGTTTTAATATGTGATGTAGGTATGGCTAGGGCTGGACGATATAGAAAAAAGTATATCGATAAAAACATTTTATAATGCTCAATATCGATAATTATTTTTTAAAAAAAGTTAAATTGTAGAAATGATATTCTACGTGCAGCCCTGGCCATTTTATTTTTGGCATTTGTTATTTTTTTCTCCGCCTCTTCTCGCTGAGACGTCTTGCTGCCTCATGCCCTGTTCTGGCTTGAGAAGGGGGGGGGGCCTGGTGAAGTAGCGTGCCCGAGTCTGTGGTTTTGATTGGTTAGGAGTAAGTAGTGAGTCTAGTATGCTGCTACCTGATATGTTATAATGAAAAAAAAAAAACTTTTTTTATCAAAGTTTTATCAACCCATTTTTTTCTATCGCACCACATGTCTATCGATAGATGTACTGAATTATCGTCCAGCCTTAGGTATGGCACATGATGATGACATTTTTTTTTACTGGTATTAGTATCAACTCTGATTATTTGCCTTTTTTTAAATAATGCATTAACACTTCTCCCTGTTCCTTGTTTTCGCAGGTGGACTCCAACAAAGACCGGTTGGTTTCTATGGATGAGTTCCTGGTTGCTACAAAGAAGAAAGAGTTTCTGGAGCCGGACAGCTGGGAGGTGAGACGCTGCATGTGACATTGGTAATATTTATTCTGATTCCATTCTGAACCAGCTATTTTGATGTTTAATGTTCTTGGCCAGACTTTGGAGCAGAACCAGGCCTATACAGACGAGGAGATGAAGGAGTTCGAGGAGCATCTCGCTCAGCAAGAGCAGGACCTCAGTCAAAGAGCTGATGACCTGCAAAAGCAGAGAGATGAGCTGCAGAGGCAGCAGGAGCAGCTTAACGCACAGAAAATAGAACTCCAGCAGGTAAGGAGTGAAGCAGCTTTACTGACTAAAGCCCGGACTACACTCTGCGTTTTTCGGCCGTCCCTAGGAAAATCCCTCCATGATCAGGATCGTGATAATAAACTGAACATGAGGGGGATTTGCAAGTCTGTGGCTGTACAGTGTGACCAGCTCTGCAACCGCTTGTTAAGCACCCTCACGACAAGTCAGCTTCCAAAAGTCTTCAAGCACTGCTTGAAAACCTACGACTCCTGTCTGCAATCCACCAGTGAAAAAACATCCAGGGAGTCACGCGAGCAGCTAGGGAGGGGAGTAGAATTAGCAGCATTAGCAACAGTGGAAGCTGCACGCGGGAACATGTGGACCACTCCTTTTTGGAGTTCGGGTTGGGAGTCTGATAAAAGAAGTGTTAACAGCAGCTCTTTTTGTCTCTTCAGCGTTGCTGTTTTGGTTAGCTGTCTGCTATTAGTGACATAAGCTTTTGGGGGGGGGGGGGGGGTGCTCTTGACGTAAGGCGTCCTGCTAGAGCGAGACGTTGTGCAGTTTGGCTCTCTGAAATCTTGCGCTGTACAATGTGTCACCTTTCTGTAGTTCTCAGTGTGGCACGAGCGGTCCTGAGCGACAGCCGGAAAATGCATAATGTGGTCTGGGCTTAAAGGGGGCATATCATGGAAAATCTACGTTCCTATCCTCACCTGTGGTCATGAGCTTTGGGTAGTGACCGAAAGAACGAGATCGCGGATACAAGCGGCCAAAATGAGTTTTCTCTGCAGAGTGGCTGGGCTCTCCGGGAGGGGCTCGGAGTAGATCCGCTGCTCCTCCACATCGAGAGGAGCCAGTTGAGGTGGCTCGGGCATCTGGTCAGGATGCCTCCTGGACGCCTCCCTGGTGAGGTTTTCCGGACACGTCCAACTGGGAGGAGGCCTAAAGGGAGACCCAGGACACGGTGGAGGGACTATGTCTCTCACCTGGCCAGGGAACGGCCAGGTGAGAGACAGCAAATCCTTGGGATTCTCCCGGAAGAGCTGGCCCAAGTGGCTGGGGTGAGGGAAGTCTGTGTCTCTCGACCCGACTCCGGATAAGCGTAAGAAAATGGATGGATCATGGCAAATTCACTTTTTGGAGCATTTGAGCATGCAGTATGGTTTCCTCATGAAAAATACCCCCAAACCCGTTTTTGGCTGCATTCGTGCATTTTCCTGTTTCCTGAATGTAAAAGCTGTACGTAATACCATCTTCCTCCCCTCGAGACCAGGCCTTGCTCCTCCCAGATCTGGTCTGGGGTCTGAAACCTGTCTCCCCTGGCCAACACAGGATATGTAGCTTAGGTGACAGTCGTGCAACAGACTTGGTAGTCCATCGGTTAGAGAGCCGGGCTGGTGCGCAGCTTTATGCAGGTTCACATCCCGGTCACAGCGGTAACTTGATTCTTTTTTGCTGCCCTTGCCAGTATGATGTTTTCAACCCTTTATTGGTAAACTGCTTAAAATATAAGGACTAATTGTTTTTTTCTTTTACTTTAAAAATATTTTGCAGAAAAGAATCAATAAAATAAAAATAGAAAACATGAAATCTGCTTCAGTTTGCCAAATAAATTACCGCTGACACCACCAGGAGTCACACCCGCACGTGGCAAAAACGTCCAGGCAGATGTCTTCACCTCTGGACTTCCATAGCCAATACAACAACTGACTCGCCTAAGACGCTGTTGTAGGCACATTTTGTCAGAGCGTGTGTGGGCGGAGTTTCACTGAAACAAACCGTTTTATGTCCGGGAATAAATTCAGGCTAACAAAAATATCTCTTGGTAATATTTGATAATATCCTGTGCCTACCTTTGCTCTGAAAGGTTTAAAATAACAGGATATGGAACCTTTAAGATGTGTTTATCAGCAGTCAGTTCTATGGCTCAGTGTTTCTAGGTTAGGACTACAATGAAAACATTATAGAGAGTCAGTGTTACAGAAAAGTAAATCATCAGTATGAGAGTATGATTAGTTACTACCGAGGTTGCTGCTGCTGCACCTGTAGGCTATGGAATCAGCTGCCAGTTAATATTAGGCAGGCCTCCTGGCTTGTGGTTTTTAAAACGTTATTTAAGACGAACTTCTATTGACTGGTGTTTAACACCACTTGATCGTCTAAATCCAGTCTTGTTTGACATTTTTAGTATACTCGTGTTTTTTTGTTTTTGGTATACTTTTAATGTTTCATCTATGCTTGTTTGTTTTAACTGTACACCACTTTGGTCAGCAGAGTTGTGTATAAAGTGTTATGTAAGTAAATGTGGATGGTAAGAAATAGGAAAAGAGGAATTGTCTCTGGATGAACTACACAACTTTTGCTGCCTCAGGAGAGCAGAAAGCACCCTAAAAGATTCCTCACACCCTGCTCGTGATTGGTTCCAACTACTGCCATCAGGCAAAAGATACAGGAGCCTTAAAACGAGGACGAAAAGACTACACAGCAGCTTTTATCCTGTGGCTATCAGGGCACTGAATGGCAGTTAACACCCCACATTCTTCTCAATTCAACTTTATGTGCAATATAAACTGGTGCAATATTATTATATATTTTTAGCTTGTCTTTCACACATAGTCAGTGCGAAATGATTCAAGTGCACAGGTTCATGTGCAGGATTGCTCTCCTATTTCATTCTATTTTATATATATTTTTAGATTCTTTCTCATATTATTTGTTTATCTCATGTAAATTCATTTTCGTACACGGGGATTGCATTTAATTTCATTGTACTTGCTGCAATGACAATAAAGGTTATTCTGGTTCTTGAAGTAAAATGGGGATATTATTTATAGGAACAAAAGTTCAGTGAGTGAATAAGCAAACACAGGTATGTTCCTGAACCCGACTGTACTGGATTTGTTTCTTTTTTTATTATTATTATTGAAATTGATAATGTGGGAGTGTTTTCCTGACTAATCCATAAAAATTTTTGGTGTGTTCTTGCTGTGTTTAGTTTCAAATTCCATCTTTCAGTTCTTTTTAAAACACAGAAAAGGTTTATTTACCTGCATAATCCATAAAACTCTTAATGTTTTACTGAATGCAAGTTTCAGGTTTTTGGTTTTTCCCATTGCAGTGTCCATGGTGAATGTCAAAGAGCTACTTTGAGAGCGCGCACACACACACACACACACACACACACACACACACACACACACACACACTTGAACCTTAGGAAAAAGATTTTATATTCTTGGGCGAAACTTAGAAGTATGCATAAAGAAAGCCTTGAAGTCCATTTGAATGTTTAATAAATGTATTAATTTTAGTTATGCTAATAAGCTAATCATAAATATATTCTGAACATGTCTGCAACTCATTACAGGCTGTGGAACATATGGAACGCCTCAAGTCGCAGAATGCAGCGCCCCCTCCAGAGGTTCACAGTGAGTGTTGATTGTACTGTTTTGTGTAACGCTTTTTTAATTCAATGGCTTCCATGAAAATGTAAAACTGGTCTTTGGTACAGTTGAAGGAAACCCCATCTCAGAGATGCATGCAGTTGACAACCAGCAGCACATTGCTCCAGGTGCTCATCAAGACACGTACCAACCTCCTCAAGATGATTACCAGGGACTTCGTACGCAGGAGGAGCACCACGCTCCGCAGGAGGAGCACCACGCTCCGCAGGAGGAGCACCACGCTCCGCAGGAGGAGCACCACGCTCCGCAGGAGGAGCACCACGCTCAGCAGGAGGAGCAGCATGTACAGCAACATCAAGACTTACCTGAGCAGATTCATCACAATGCACAACCAGGACATCATGAAGTTGCACACGACCAGATTATCCTGCCGTAACAATGCTGTCAAGAAATCAACACAAGACTTTGGCTGCACTTGCAAAGGAGAAGTCCCTCCTGGGCTTGAAACCACTTTAACCAGTGCAACCAGCATACAGGTTTTTCAGTACAGGGCGACACAAAAAAATCTTACGTTTTTATTATGAGGAAACATCTGATTACCTAAGGGAATTAAACATTTTTAAAACAACCTGCTGCAGACATATTTATCAGATTATGCATAGAAAATACAAAGAAATGGCTGTAATGATGATGATGATGATGATTCTGGATTGTTTATTACTGAACGTCTAAATGTGTCCAGCTGCTGTTTACAGAAACCTGACAGGGTTTTATTTAAGAGGTTGTCAGATTTGTGCAGCGTGCTTTTTGAGGTTAAGTTCTAAGAAATCGTTGTCAATTTTAGCCTTACGTTGATTTTTTTATTCCAGGGCAGGACCGTTTTAAGTTAAAGGTGGACTTTTTAGATAAATGACGCACATCACTAGTTTAGCAGTGTGTTTCTCCTAGTGTTCTCTGTTTTGGAAGCTAAAAGCAAGCGGCAGTATGACGTTTATTTTTTTTTCTTTTAGTTCAAAAGATACACAAAATATTTAAAAAAAATCATATATTGAATTTACATACTGTACTATAAATCTTTGTTTTAGACAGAAAAAAACTATTTGATGCAGCTAAGTACATTAACTGGCAATTCGATCTAAAAAAATAATCTTTTGTTAGACTAAGTGGGTAAATGATAAAGTAAAAAATATGTGCTCTAGTCTAAACAGACCCACCTTTTGTTGCTGCAGCTGCTCTCCACTGGCCTATTAATGGTGCTAATTAAGAAAGAATTAGTAAAAAACATTTTGTTCATTTGATTAAATGCTTTGTGGATGATTTTTTGCTAAACAAATGCTCAAAGCATCTATTTAAAAATATAGGTGGCGACACACGAGTCATGTTATAAAGTTAAACTTACAAAAATAGTTTTTAAGTGAGGTTCATTTAAATAAGTCATTTTTCATACTTTGGATCATTTTTAAAAAGTAATTTTAGTTAAATTTTACCATTTTAATTGGGAAGCAATGCATGATTTGACTACAGCCTAGGTCAGGTGTGTCCAAACCTTTTAAGACAAAGGCCAAGATTATCAAGGTGAAACTCCTCATAGGCCACAAAAATAGGATTTTTTTATTTTAACAAGCAAAAAATGTAGAATTGTATTTGTACTGTTCCTAAAAAGGCCTACAATGGACATATAGGTGAAAATCATATGATTAAAAATGTCTTATCTTCATCAAAACAGCCTGCTGGAGAGACAAAATGAAGTAAACAGATATTTTATCGCTACATTCTACTGGAGAAGCTACCTGCGCCACAGAGGACCTCTCCCATGGGAGTCTTCTGGTACTTTTGTCTACAAAACTTTCAATTTGCCGACTCGTGTTCTCTGTGTGGTCGTCTGGAGTGATGCTTTATGATTTGCACAAAATGTTTGGGTGGGCTTGCTGCTGAATACAAGTCATTGGATACCTTAAACCTCAAGATAATAAAAAGCGTTTACCTTTTTTTTTCCTTGTGTGCTGCATATTAATATGGATTATCTACATAAAGTACAAAACAGCCATGGGTCCTCCTTCACGGTGTGGAACACTGAAAAAAACATTTAAAAAAATCTTGTTACTGATTCTTAGTTCATCTGAGTTTTTCCCACACCTATCTCCTGCATTAGCTTGTGGTAGCAAGTAGTCAGTAAACTCTAGATTAGAAAAGTCTGACAGATCTACGTCACACTGTCACCTAACATTCATGGTCTCATATCTTGGGTCATCACTCACGACGGGGAAGGCCGTTGTTGGTTTTTGCTTCTAGGAACCAGCAGAAAATGTCCTGGTTAGTAGAAGCTAACCGCTAGCATTAGCAACTCCAGCATGTGGCAGAACTCCTCCAGACTTGTCATTTGTGGAGATAAAACAACGTTTTTGCGAGTCAGTGGTAGTCCCATTGCTTTTATCCTATCTGAGACAAGATGTCCAAATATCAGATAAGAGTCCAAACCCTGCTGTCTGAAGCTCAGCTGAGACGGGCAAGTTCTAGTTCCTGAAAATGGTGCACCAGTACTTTTCTTTGGCCAGAGTTGGACTTAGTAGGCATTCGTTCCTACTAGAGACCACTGCAAATGTGTTCATTAAACGAGTGCTCAATACTTTCAAGGATGACCCAAAACACATAGAAACATTCAAGAATGAATTAGAACAAAGATGGGTCTATTCTAATGTGGCCTTTGAGACAATCTAAACTATTGAATGCTAGCTAATTTAGCTAGAACGTTCTGCAAATGAAATCCTCAAGAGGACATACTATGCAAAACTCACCTTTTGTGCTGCTTTGTGGTAGCCTGGACTGCCAGACTCGTCCTCTGTTTAATTCTGCACAGTCTGGTAACTCACAGGCAGAGAGGCACTTGAGGGGCCGGACTAGGAAGTTCAAAAATGACTAATCAGAAAAAAGAAGGAAATCCCGACTATACCGCACGACGCAGTAGATTTCTAGTTGTAGTAAAAAAAATTGCGTCTGGCAACGGTGCAAACATCTTTTATTTTTTTTTTTAGAAGAAATGCTTTTAGCGCTTTTACTTGCGGTTTTAAAGACATCTGAGTCATTTAGAACAGAGGAAAGAGCCACAGCGAACTCCGCCGCTATCTTCGTTGTTTATGAGAAACTGAGCATCGCTGTGTGTGACGTCTGCGACACTGTAGTAAAAATGGAGTCTGGCGACAGCGCAAACATCTTGGGGGGGATCACCTGCACCTTGTTCCTTAAAGTCAGAGCCCTGAAATGGCTCACTTGGGAAGGTACTGAAAATGTTCAGAAAAACAGTGTGGAGATTGCTTTAAGAGGGATTTTGTACATATAACTTCAGTCTAGCCGATCGATAGTCTTTCTCCATGGCCTCACCAAACTCCTCCCACGCCCGAGATTTTGCCTCGGCAACTGCCACTGCTGCACCCCGCTTGGCTATCCGGTACCTGTCTGCTGCCTCCGGAGACCCACAGACCAGCCACGCCCTGTAGGCCTCCTTCTTCAGCCTGACGGCTCCCCAAACCTCTGGTGTCCACCAGCGGATACGGGGGTTGCCACCACGACTGGCACCGGCCACCTTACGACCACAGCTAGCAACAGCCGCCTCGACAATCGCAGAGTGGAACAAGGCCCACTCGGACTCAATGTCCCCCACTGCTCTCGGGACGTGGTCAAAGCTCTGCCGGAGGTGGGAGTTGAAGACCGTCTTGACAGGTTCTTCTGCCAGGCGTTCCCAGCAGACCCTCACTATGCGTTTGGGTCTGCCAGGTCTACGCGGCATGTTCCCTTGCCATCTGATCCAACTCACCACCAGGTGGTGATCAGTTGACAGCTCCGCCCCTCTCTTCACTCGGGTGTCCAAAACATACGGCCGCAGGTCAGATGATACGACTACAAAATCTATCATCGACCTGTGACCTAGGCTGCCCTGGTACCAAGTGTACCGGTGGGCATCCTTATGTTCGAACATGGTGTTCGTTATGGCCAAACTGCGGCTTGCACAGAAGTCCAATAACAAAACACCGCTTGAGTTCAGATTAGGTGGGCCGTTCCTCCCAATCACACCCCTCCAGGTCAAGCTGTCATTGCCCACGTGAGCATTGAAGTCCCCCAGCATGACAAATCTCGGGCGTGGGAGGAGTTTGGTGAGGCCATGGAGAAAGACTATCGATCGGCTCCAAAGAGGTTCTGGCAAACTGTCCGGCGCCTCAGGAGAGGAAGACAGCAACTCGCTCACACTGTTTACAGTGGGGATGGGGAGCTGCTGACGTCAACTGAGGCTATAGTCGGACGGTGGAAGGAATACTTTGAGGAGCTCCTCAATCCCACCAATGCGCATTCCGAGGAGGAACCAGAGCTGGGAGGCCTGGGGATGGACTGTCCGATCTCGGGGGCAGAAGTTGCTGAGGTAGTCAAACAACTACACAGCGGCGGAGCCCCGGGGGCGGATGAGGTTCGTCCTGGGTATCTCAAGGCTATGGATGTTGTAGGGCTGTCATGGTTGACACGTCTCTACAACATTGCGTGGTCATCGGGGGCAGTTCCTAGGGAGTGGCAGACCGGGGTGGTGGTCCCCATCTTTAAGAAGGGTGACCTGAGGGTGTGTTCCAACTATAGGGGGATCACACTCCTCAGCCTCCCTGGAAAGGTCTACGCCAAGGTACTGGAGAGGAGGGTCCGATCGATAGTTGAATCTCAGATAGAGGAGGAGCAATGTGGTTTTCGTCCTGGCCGTGGAACTGTGGACCAGCTCTATACCCTTGCAAGGGTGATGGAGGGGGCATGGGAGTTTGCCCAACCAATCCACATGTGCTTTGTGGATTTGGAGAAGGCTTATGACCGTGTCCCCAGGGGCACCCTGTGGGGGACGCTCCAGGAGTATGGGGTGGGTGGCTTTCTGTTAAGGGCCATTCAGTCCCTTTACCAGAGGAGCGTGAGTTTGGTCCGCATAGCCGGTAGTAAGTCGGACCTGTTCCCAGTGAGGGTTGGACTCCGCCAGGGCTGCCCTTTGTCACCGGTTCTGTTCATCACTTTTATGGACAGAATTTCTAGACGCAGCCGTGGTGTGGAGTGTGTCGAGTTTGGTGGCAGGAGAATCTCGTCTCTGCTTTTTGCGGATGATGTGGTCCTCCTAGCTTCATCCAGCTCTGACCTTCAGCTCTTGCTTGGTAGGTTCGCGGCCGAATGTGAAGCGGCTGGGATGAGGATCAGCACCTCCAAATCTGAGACCATGGTTCTCGACCGGAAAAGGGTGGCTTGCCACCTCCGGGTCGGGGGAGAGGTCCTACCTCAAGTGGAGGAGTTTAAGTATCTCGGGGTCTTGTTCACGAGTGAGGGTAGGAGGGATCGGGAGATCGACAGGCGGATTGGTTCGGCGTCTGCAGTGATGCGGACGCTGAGCCGATCTGTCGTGGTGAAGAGGGAGCTGAGCCAGAAAGCCAGGCTCTCGATTTACCGGTCGATCTACGTCCCAATCCTCACCTATGGTCATGAGCTTTGGGTAATGACCGAAAGAACGAGATCGCGGATACAAGCGGCCGAAATGAGTTTCCTCCGTAGGGTGGTCGGGCTCAGCCTTAGAGATAGGGTGAGGAGCTCGGACATTCGGGAGGGACTCGGAGTAGAACCGCTGCTCCTCCGGATCGAAAGGAGCCAGTTGAGGTGGTTTGGGCATCTGGTCAGGATGCCTCCTGGACGCCTCCCCGGGGAGGTGTTTCGGGCATGTCCTGCCGGCAGAAGGCCCCCGGGTCGACCCAGGACACGTTGGAGAGGTTACATCTCCAATCTGGTCCGGGAACGCCTTGGGGTCCTGCCGGAGGAGCTGGTGGACAAGGCCGGGGAGAGGACGGCCTGGAGCTCCCTAATTGGGATGCTGCCCCCGCGACCCGGACCCGGATAAGCGGAGGAAGACGAAGACGAAACTTCAGTCTATTTTTGTATCAACCATGGAACTGTAAAAGTAAAATGTCCCCTTTAAGACAGGCTAGAGCAGGTGAGGGCCAAAATACCTGTTGACAGGTGAAGTTACAGAAATCACCTGATCGCAGGGATTGCCTCATTCAAAAATCATTCTCGTCCAGGTGGCTTAGTTTTTGTTCTGTTCAACCACAAATCAAAATAACTGTTGTGGCCAATTCTATAGAAATTATGGAAATCATCAGTTTTATTTATTCTTGTTTAACAGCATAAACATTTAAGTCTACCATCTAAATCTTTAAGTAAATTTTATTTTTAGGAAGTTTGTGACAAGTGTGTAGACCCGCTCATTAATTAGGGTCATGAGAAGCATGTTTGTCAGATGTCAGCGAGAGGTTTGTGTGTGTGTGTGTGTGTGTGTGGGGGGGGGGGGGGTCCTCAATGATTTTTTTTGACCACTTTATAGATTTGATTGGTTAATTTAAGTTGGGTTGTATTTAGGTTGAAGATAAATGAAATTGCTAGATAATTGAGTTCTATTTTTGCAAGAAATAAATGGAATATATGTTTAAGAGCTCAAGTCTGGAGCGTGTGCAAAAAGCAAAACCACCTGTTGCCACTCTGCAACAATAGCCATCATTAGTTTATTGTCACAACATTTAATTATTTTTGAATTTCAAGTTCTTTCAGACCAAAATGTCTTTCTTTACCAAAAGAGTTCAGGCAATTTCAATCATGTCTGTATATAGAAAAACATGGGGAGTTTTTAATAAGCATGATATAGTTAACACAGCTTTTTAGGATACAACTTTATTGAAACAGTCTCAACCAATATCAGTGTACAAATGGGTTATGCTGCAACAGATGAGTTAAAAAACAAAATGTCTTTATGAAAATTATAAGATTAAAAGGAAAAAAGTGTTTGAGAGCTCAGGGCACAAGAGAATAAATATTCTCATGGAATCAGTTTAACAGTGGCAGGGTTGGGGTTTTTTGCATTTATTTTGTAAAAAAAATAAATTAATGAAATCTTTCAAGTTTACAGGAATATCTATTTGTAGTTTTACAACACATACGCACACACACATAGACTCGCTGAGAATCCTACATGTGATGAACTTCTGCATGTTGTGTTCAAACACGAAGTGGACCTAGACAGACCAAAGCAGGCTGACTCTTAAGTGGGCCAAAAGTAAAAAAATAAAAATAAAAAAAAAAGGTTACTTGTTAGAAAGGAAACACTTAAAAAGTGAGCTAGGGCAAACACATTCAATATCCTGAATGTTCAACGTGGCGTCCAACGTGATGGTCCGTAAAATTCATTAGGATCGCATTGCTTGAGCGTTCCCCCGAGACAAACCCCGAGATCCTTGAGCAGTGCCTCGCTTGTAGCCTTGCTGGTATCCCTCCTGGAAAAACGAGCAAGTATTTACAAAGGTTACCCAGTTTAACAAAAAATGTTAAGTTGGTGTGCTGAATCACCAGCTTTTTAGGAAATCACCACTTACCCGCTGGTAGCTGCTGTTGGAATAGTCCCGAGATGCACTGAATTGGGTTTGGCCATACCCACTGGTGGGAGGAGCATTTGAAAAGGAAGGACGATATCCTTCATATCCTCCTGATGACGAGGCACACAGTTAAACATGACCCAGTGTTGATGCTTTAGAGTATTTGATCAGTGAAAGGTTTGATGCTTGTACCTCTGAATCCATTGGAGGAGCCCCGGTATCCATTCATCACTCCCCGGGCATTCCTGGGTCCACCTCTGGGAACGGCCCTGCTGTTGTAGAAGGACTGGCTGGACTGCCCAAACCCTGCTCCGGCAGAGGAATCCTCATCGTTTCCCGCTGAGGGGATAACTTGGTCTTGGGACTGGAACCCACCAACAACTGCAGAGACAATGTGCATATGTAAAAAAAAAAAAAAACTATGTAGCATTTAGGTATTTTTTCATAATTTCATGTCTTTATTTACCTGACTGTAACCGTTCCTGTGGCATTTCCAGCTGCTCTACGGCATCCTCCGATTGGCTGTTAAAGCCCTGAGCAAAGCCACCAGGAAACTGGCTGGACTGCTGCAGAGGTTCTGCTTGACCGTCGGTGGGTGGAGGTACGGGTGCATTCAGGTTGAAAACCTAAAGAGGAAAAAATAAATTCTAAGTGAATTTCATTTGTCCTGACTCCACAGATCGACGCGGTTGAACTTCTGCTGTTCTTGTTTTGGCCTCAAAAATTAAACCGTGTTCATAGACTTAAACATTTGATGTTCTTCTCCAACCCTTACTAAGCCTTAGCTTGCACAAACATGATGCAGGAAGCTTTGCAACACAACATCCCAACACATTGACTGCTGCGCCTGGAGCATACCGCTTGCACTGACTGGAAAGGTGCTGCGTTCACATTGATGCCTCCAGAGTGGGTGGGTTTGGAGACAGGTGGGAAGGCGGTAGACAAGGAACATGAGGCAGCCAAATGTTCAGCTGACAAAGACATAGAAGCCTGGGTAGGTAGGAAGGAGGAAACAGGAAAGGCAAGGAAACAAGGAACGTGAAGAGGTCAGTGGATGAGATGGGATCTAAAAGCGTTCATCTACTTCAGCAGTTTTTAAACAGCGTTCTGTAATTTGAAGTCAGATCAGTGTTGCCAACTCCCCCCGATCGAAAGTAGCTGAAGTTGACCCAGAAAGTCACCCAGATGTCGCCAGATGCCAATTTGCATATTTATGATGTCATCACGCCACATTGGCGTTCATTTTCCCCACAGCATCGAAAAGAAATGATATATATACAGTGAAGATTTTTAAAACATGGTCTTTTGTAGGATTAAAAGGGGTTAAAATCAAAAACGATTTTATGTGTTTAAGTTATTAATTAGTATGATTAAAATGGCCCAAATTGCTTTGATATGTAAAATTAATTCCAAAAGTACCATTAAACCAACATTAAGACAGATATGGTGTGATGATCCAAACAGTTCTGTGGGGAACCCCGGCCCTCGAGGGTTGGTATCCTGCACGTCTTTGCTCCAATACTTCTGATTCAGAATCAGAAGTTTTTATTGCCATATGTGTGCCAAGTCACAACATTAGGAAATTGCTGCGGTATTTTGGTGCAGAAGGTAAGATAGAAAAAAAATTAATTAAGAGATAAGCAAATATAAGAACTAATAAAACACTCATGATAAAATTATTAATGTAAAAAGTGGCAAGAATTAGAGAAGCAGCTATCTACTCCGTGTAATCGGAGTATTTGTTGAATGGTTCAAGCACAGCATCGGGTCACGTGACTGGGACCAATCAACTTGAGTGGGCTGCCCTAGGATGTTCATTCAAAAGTCCAACTGCAGAGGGGAAGAAACTGTTTTTGTGGCGAGAGGTTCTGGTCTGAATGGATCTGAGCCTTCTGCCAGATGGGAGCGAGTCGAAGAGACTGTGTCCAGGGTGAGACGAGTCATCTATCATCCGACCTGCACGCCTCAATGTCCTAGAGGTGTACAGATCTTGAATGGAGGGGAGTTTGCAGCCAATGACCTTCTCTGCAGAGCGCACGACACACTGCAGCCTCTTCTTGTCCCTGGTGGTAGCTCCAGCGTACCACACGGTGATGGAGGAGGTGAGGATGGACTCGATGATAGCGGTGTAGAACTGCCTCATTGACTGTGGTGATAGGTTGAATTTCTTCAACTGCCTCAAGTACATCCTCTGCTGGGCCTTTTTTCTGATGGTGGTGATGGTGGGCTCCCATTTGAGGTCCTGGGTGATGGTGGTGCCCAGGAAGCGACATGAGCCCACCATCGTGATGGGAGTGTCAGACAGGTTTAAGGGGGGATGGTGTGTGTGTTTCCTAAAGTCCACAACAACCTCCGCTGTCTTCTGGGTGTTTAGCACCAGCCGTTCAGCCTCCATTCTGTAAGCGGACTCATCCCCATTAGAGACGAGTCCGATGATGGTGGTGTCGTCAGCAAACTTAATTAGTTTGACAGACTCATGCTTGGAGGTGCAGCTGTTGGTGTACAGGGAGAAGAGCAGAGGGGAAAGAACACAGCCCTGTGGTGAGCCGGTGCTGATGGTCCGTTGGTCCGAGACATTCTTCCCCAGCCTGACTTGTTGTTTCCTGTCTGACAGGAAGTCAGTGATCCACCTGCAGATGGGGTCAGGCATGTTCATCTGGGACATTTTGTCTTGGAGGAGGTCTGGCAGGATTGTGTTGAATGCAGAGCTCAAGTCCACGAACAATATCCTGGCGTAGGTACCTGGGGAGTCCAGATGCTGCAGGAGGAATCGTAGAGCCATGTTGATTGAGTCATCTACAGACCTGTTTGCTCTGTATGCAAACAGCAGGGGGTCGAGCAGGGGGCTGTGAGGGTCTTGAGGTGGGGGAGAACTAGGTGCTCAAATGACTTCATGACCACAGATGTCAGAGCCACAGGTCTGTAGTCATTTAGTCCAGTGATTCTTGGTTTCTTGGGGACAGGGACGATGGTGGAGATCTTGAAGCAGGCAGGCACATGAGATTCCTCCAGTGAGGAGTTGAAGATGCTCGTAAACACTGGGGCCAGCTCTTCAGCAGGAGCCACGCCATCAGGGCCCGGGGCTTTTCGTGTGTTAAGAGACCTGAACTGCTTCTTTACATCTGCTTCATGAATGTGTAGATCATGAGTGGGGAGTGAGGGGGAGGGTGATGAAGGTAAATTCCACAGTGATGGTGATGGCTCTGGAGTGGCTGAGTCTATTGTTGGGGCTGGACGAGGAGTGAGGCCTGCCTGATGGCTCATCAAACCGACAATAGAAATTGTTTAGGTTGTTTGCCAAGAGCAGGTTATCGGTGGAGGCGGGGGTTGTGGGTTTGTAGTTGGTGATGTTCCTGAAACTTTTCCACACAGAGGTTGGGTCGTTTTCAGAGATTTGCTGCTACATTTTGCCATGATGCTGGTGTTTTGCTTTGACCAATTCTCTGCTGAACCTGTATTTAGTGTCTCTGTAGGAGTCCTTGTACCCCCTTTTAAATGCATCTCTCTTTTCTAACCACAGCTGTTTGAGTTTAGGGGTAAACCAGGCTTTGTCATTGTTATAACTCACCCTGGTGTGTGATGGTATGATGCTGTCCTGACAGAAGTGGATGTAGGAGGTGACGGTATCTGTGAACTCATCTGAGGTGGCCTTCATTACCTCCCAGTCTGTGGTCTCAAAGCATGCGCAAAGCTCATCTGCGGCATCTGTGTTCCACTGTCTTGTTGACTTCACAACAGGCTTGAGCCCCCTTCAGACAGGCCATGAAAAACGGAAATGTTCCGGACTCTGTCCGTAAGACCTTTGTGTCTGAATACAAACATCCGGATAACGTGTTCCGGAATTTAACCGGACGAAGCCCCTAGTAACAGGTCCGGACTTGTTACGGACAGGGTGGCTGCTTCAGACTGGTGAGGTAGAGTTCCCGGGGGGGGGGGGGGGGGGGGGGAGAGAGAGGAGACGCTGTGCACACCTAGATAGCTCGCTCCTGTATCATGCGGCGAACCACGGCAGCTCGCCTCCTACGGTCTACCGCCTAGACGCGCGACGGAGCGCTTCACACCGCTTCAGTGATTCCTTTAACCATTTAGCTTCATCATCCAGGTCTCTGATGCGTCTTCATGTGTGCAGAATTATGCTTAAGCGCCTCGTGATTTTTATCTTGAGAGGCGCTATAGAAATGATATTTTCTTCTTCTTCTTAACATGAGTCCGATCCCCCCCCCCGCACCGCCAGACATCTGGACCTTTTCCCTGCTGTGTGAACGCAGCCGAAAGGACAAGTTCCGGTACAAAAGTGGTGTGTCTGAAAACACAGTTCCGGTTAAAAAACGGATTGAATTGTCCACAAATGTTCCAGAATGTCTGTCTGAAAAGGGCTTTGGAGAGTTTTAGCCTTTGTTTGTAAGCTGGGATCAGATGGTGGTTCTCTGGGTAACCTTTGTAAATACTTGCTCAGTGGTTGATTCACCTGTTCAGCAGCTCATCAGCCTCTGCAGACGCCTGTTAATCACCTGCTGATTGAACTCAGGTGTGTTGAAGCAGGGCTGAAACTAAAATAAGCTGGATAGTGGCCCTCGATGGACCGGGGTTCCCCACCCGTGTTAAGAGGATATACCTCAGACCTCCTGCTTTCCTCCTTCTCACATTTTCCTAAAAAGCAGGTTTTTTTTGTGTACACCTTGTAGTTTCTTAACTTCTCTGTTGTGTTTTCTCTCCATCGTAATAACGGCGCACCAAGCAAAAGGGAGCGGGTGTCTCATGGTATCCCTGTGTCACTGAAGGAAATTCAGATGAGCCACAGAGCTGCGTGTGTAAACGGGACGGTAGTTGAAACTCCCGTTGACTTTATTTGCCAAATGCAGAAAAAGCCAAAGTGTCTGACGGCTGCAGAACCAGAGATCGCAGGTTGACGTCTACGCCGTCTCTAGTAAAAGCGTGAGTCTGCAGCAGCAGGCGTAAATCGGCGGTCTCCAGCTCTGCAGCTGTAACTTTGTCTTCAGCCCGGTCATCTCCCAGTGCACATGTGCAGATTATCATTCTCTTCCCTTACTCCCGGAAGAACGGTTCAGAGTGCAAATGGTTTCTTTGTTGCTAATCTGCAGGGAATATCTACAAGAAAGTTCTACGGAAAGTAGCAAAGGGTCCTGAGAAATGTCGCTAGGCGCTTTTTGGGGGAAAAAAAAGTCGTTGAAGGGGGTCAAAAAGTCGTTAGGAACAGCGACAGTCACTGAGTTGGCAACACTGAGTCAGATAGCTTCTCATTTATACAATAGCTTATGATGAAGTAACTTCCTGCATAACTGCACTATTCTAACTGGCTATATGTTTTCAGGACACCTAAAACCGTAATGCTACCAACTACTTCCTGCTGGGTTTCCCTCTTCTGGAACTTACTCGGGAGGATTCTTGTGGTCCAGATACTGTAGTTGTTTGGGAAAGCCTTGGTTCTGAGTGGACTACTGGAAAACACAAACAAATGAAGACCTTTCTTTAAAATGCATATTTTTACCAGCTTTGTTACACTTTTTGGATCACTCACTTGAAGGGCCACCCATCGGATGCAAGTCAACAGCCTGCAGAGGCTTCATGGGCTGTGCAGAAACGATGGCTGGGTCCAGAGCCTGGCCATCAAATTCCAACATGGAGTCCTACAACAGTCAAATACATGAGATGTATTGCTGGACTATTTAAGATGTATTTATCTTGTTGATGTTTCCTTCTCATGAATAGTTCACCTCAAAGTTTAGAAAAGATTCAGATGAAAACCAAAGCAAAGCTGACTAAGGATTAAATGTAGAAACGACCCAATCGACGCTGATCCAGTGTTTGGACCATACTGCTATTTTAGTTCCCTTTTTTTATTATTGCAGTTCTGATATTTGTTTTACTCCATTTAAAAATTAGTTTGAACCTTTTGACCTCTTATCAATTCCGTCCTTGTATTGTTGTGTCAGAAACGCGATCCTGAGTCTCCTTGCCTGCATAAAGTTGTATGTCCCTTGCATCTGGGCCATGAGGTCTTGCACCGCCTGTTTTCTGACCACCGGGTCAGTGGCAGGAGTGGGAGCGACTGGGTTCACAGTAACGGCTGGCTCTGGAGCCAGCTGTGCTGAGGGGTGGTGCTGGAGAGAGCTCATCTATTTAACAAAAACAAAGTCATTAGAAAATACAAGGAGTTGGTAGAAGACCAGAGGCAAGGGCTTATGAGGATACCTGAGTCTCCACTGACCACTCCTCTACTTGGTCTTGGTCTGTGCTGCTGTAAGAAGTTTCTGAAGCAAACTGTCTGTTAACAAACTGCAACACAAGAAGAACTTAAAATTACATGAAGCTAAAAAATTGTATTTATCTCGCAACTTGTTGTTCAACAGTTCCAACCTCTGTGGGTTCCACCTTTACAGCCTCGATGTAGTTCTCGTTAATTAGTCCTTCTGAGGAAAAGAATCAAACGTGATGAGGGTGCATCAAGTACACTTCCCTTAAACCTACTTGCTAAAGTGGTACCAGGTTCTGATGGGGGCTCTGCAGTCACCACAGCCTCAGCCGCCACAGCAGGGGGCTCCTCTTGCGTCTCTTCTGTCTCACATGCACCGTTCTGATTAGCCTCTGGTCTGTCAAAGTAACCACTCAACAGCAGTTTGTCCAGAGTCTTCTTCAGAGACTTGTCTAGAAAAAAGGTGAAGACCTTACAGACCGATGCTCCTCATTTATTTTCCATGATCAGACAGCCTACAACAATGACACGACTAACATTTGTCAGTTTGCAAAAGCTTTAAAAACATTGTAGAGAATATCTGGAGAACTCTGCCTGCCAGTGATGATACACACTCTTCTAACAGCACACACACACGCACGCGCGCACGCACACACACACACACACACATACACACGCACGCACGCATACACACATTTTGCATGAAATCTTGTGTAATTTAAGTAAGAAAACCCCACACTGACTCATTTTAATGATGAAAGCTCTAAACCAGAGTAAAGCCATGAAGCTACAAATGCTTTAAACGGAGTATAAAGTAATAATTACATGTGGTTCCTGCCACAGGCTTGTCTCGGCCCTCAAGCAGCGCCCACAAGTGCAGCGAGGCCTCTTCATACTGCTCAGTCAACCTGCAAAGATTATATAACGGAGTATAATTTTTCTGGAAACTGAATTCACTAAAATGGATCTGGTCAGTTGGTCACTCAGCGCGATTGATAAAATTTTATCAACGATGAGAACGGGAGAAGGGGCTCCCGGATGCCCCTCCGGGACAGACCAGCTGTCTGTGGAGGACTCTGAAGATGTGTGGATATTCATGGTGTTGGTGACAGGTTTCCTGCTGATCGGCATTGGAGGCTTACCGGAAAATTAACGAGCTGTCGAGGAACATTGGCCTGATCTCTGAGCTCAGAGATGGTTTGCACCGCGCTGTAAATTCACAGACTCACATAATTGTCGAGATGAATCGTAAGCTTGGGACTTTGGCCGAGATTCATTTATTGGCACAGAAGATGGATGCCATCAAGGATAGAGTGGACGAATCGGATTGGGATAGTTTAATGTACAATATTGGGATGTTGAGAGGTTGAGGACCAAGGTACTGTAAGACAGTAGGGCTGTCGCGGTAACCGCAAAAATGAAATATCGCAATATGAAGAAGCCCACCGCGCTGCATCATGGGCCACCGCGATTACTGAACTTGGTTCAACTCAATGATGCATGTTGAGAAGGATGGCTGCACTGGTATCAAAACGAAACGTTACTTCGCTCCTTTGGGAGCGCTTTGGTTTTCAGTACGTCAGCTGCTACGCAGCCAGAGTCCTTGGCCGGGACAAAGCTGCCACCAGCGGCAAATAAATAAATAAATAATAAACGCTCGGAGACCTCCTGAAGTCCCGGACAAGCACTGCTTCTGCAGCCGTCCCGAAGAGAGTTTGAGCCGAGCTGGAGCTCACTCGCTACCTGCAGGAGGAATGCATCCACCCTAAAGAAAACCCCCGTGACATGGTGGAGCAACAAACGGGAGATTCCCTTTGCTCGCCAGAGTCGCACGCAAGTCGAGTTCGGAAGCGAGCGGGGCCGGACCGGAGCGGAGGGGAGCGGAGGTAGTGGAATTTGGGGTAAGTGCAACGAGCGCACCATCCGAGAGGGTTTTCAGTGTTGCTGGAAATGTTGCCACCCCTCTCAGATCCTCTCTCAAACCGTATATGGTTAACATGCTGGTTTTCCTTGTAGGTAACAAGGACGTGACCGAGCTATAAATCACTGTCATTCGTGTGTGTGAAAGTGAAATGATAGTGCGCCCGCCCCCCGGCGCGCGCGCGCCCTGTACATGCAATTTTTTATGCTTGATTTTAAACAACTAAACAAAATGGGGACTTGTTTCTTATTTGTTAGATGCTGCAGCCAAATTTGCATTTAAAAGTTTAACCTCCTCCTGAATTTTGTTGTTTTTAAGTTCAGTCGGACTCCGACTGTCGGACAAACAAACGTTACTGCGATCTGTGTTGTTACTGCCCTTTGATCTGCATTCAGTAAAGCATTATAAAAGAAGGCACGGCAATTTTTAACCTTTTTTAAATGTGCAAACATTATGTTTAGATAGTACTGCAATAAAAAAAAGGACTGCAATAATATCGCACACCGCAATATTAAGCCACCCTGAATCACCGCAGGGGGAATTCCTCAACCGCGACAGCCCTATAAGACAGAGAGGGAATTATCTGTCTGGCCCCATAACAATTTCTAATCGGAATCTGGCACCCTTGAGCCTGCAAGGCTACAACGAAAACTCCCCCCTCAGAAGATATGTGGAATGTGCCGTTGCTATGGCAACCCAACTCTGTCTCCTTTCCCAGCCTGGGCGGGACCGCGGGAAGGCCGCCGAATTGTTACAGGGTCACTGCAACCCTCCAACCCTCAATGCTTCTCCCCTATCCACACTGAGGCGACATGCGCTGCTTATCGTGGCTGCAGGAACTGAAGTGGGGATAGTCCCAACCCACCACCCCACCTAGTGGACACTTTAAGAGCCTTGAGATTTTTATCTTGAGAGGCGCTATAGAAATGATACTTTCTTCTTCTTATGTTGTGTTGTCTGGAGTCTGTTGCATATCTGTTTGAGGTGGGGTTTTTTTTGCAGAGCAAAGCTGCCCTCCTGGTGGAGGGTAACTCTGAAGTGCCTTTTTTTCCCTCCACCTGAACCAATCCTCATGTAATCCTCTGATCTCTATTAAAGTAGCGCAACTCGGGGTTGTGAATGACCACAGTCACCAGTTCTTGTCATGTGTCTAGTATGTATGTATGTCTGATCTGAGAATTGTGTGTACTGAAACTAATTTCCCTCTGGGATTAATAAAGTATCTTTGAATTTGAAAAATAAATGATGACAGTTGTTCTTTTTAAATAATATTTTCTTAAGATGTGCCTTATTGTAAAAGAAATGTTTTACATAAACAGCTGCATACCTGATGTCGCAGTTCCTCTCAGGCCCCACCAGTTTGTAAAACTCATCAAAGGAGGTGAGGTCACCGTCGGTGAGCAGAGGGGCACCCGAAGCACCGGGCTGTTTAAGGTCCTGTCGTACGCCGTCGTCTCCTAACTGGTCCAGTAAGAACTGAAGCTCCAAAACGGTCTTCAGCCGCCGTTGCTCCAGCTCCTCCCGCTGCAGCTGCTCCCGTCGAGCAGACTTTTTCACCGCTTTTTGAACCTAAACACACAGGTGCAGACGTCTCACACCAAGCAAACTCCCCAGGGCTGAGCTACGTCAGTCGCTTTGCAGAATAAGATTTGATGATGCAATTGTCCAAAAGTGACACAAAGCTTTAAAAAGAATAATTAGAAAATTTCATTAGAAACCTAAACAGTCGTACTCACCTCTTGGCCCAATGCCAGGAAGCTCTTCTGCAGTTCTCGAGCAAAGTCAAGGTTATTGATGATCTCCTGGTACTTTGACAAAGCTTCCTTCAGGAACATTCAGAAATAGAAATGTGATTATTTTAGCTAATTAAGAAAAGATAAATAAAATTATTTTACCCTACAACAACCTCAGTTGAGTTACAGCAAAGACAAAGCAATTTGTTAAATCGGAATCAGAATGAATGAATGAAAAAATAATTTTCTGATCCTACCAGCTGATCCTGATTCAGTCTCTCTCCTTTGTTCTTTTTTTCTTGATAGTCGTCCAGTTTGGACTGTAAAAACACCCAAGGCATTAAAATAAAAAAATAACACACATACATACAAACACACCAGGAAATACTGTAAAACCATTTATTACGTCTTACTGAGAATAAAACCATCTCTAACAAAAACGTCAATATTAGCATGTTTCCACCAATCCATTTTCAGTTGCTTATCTGGAGTCGGGTCACGGGGGCAGCAACCCAAGCAGAGAGGCCCAGACTTCCCTCTCTCCAGCTACTTGGGGGCCAGCTCTTTGAAGAGAATCCTAAGGTGTTCCTTGGCCAGGTGAGAGACATTGGGCCATTCCCATCTGTACTGGGTCGGCCCGGGCCGGGTAGGGTAGGTTGTTTACATATCTGGGTGGCCTGGTGTTTTCCCGGGCCAACCAAGGCTCATTCTCAGCCCTCTTCTCGAGGGGGTCTGCTTCAGGCCGACCAGGGCCAACACACCCACTGCTGACAGCAAATTCACACCTTCTATTAGAGCAAGCCTCTGATTGGTGGGTAGAATCAGCCCACATGGGCTTAAGGCATGCACAATTCATTATCATTCATTATCATGCTGATTACCCAGAAGCCGAAAGTGTCTCTGGCTGCATTCCTTGCATACCCAAGCAAGGATGTGTGGAATCAACCGGGCCAGGCTGGGGCCGACCCGGTACAGATGGGAATGGCCCAATAGTCCCTCCAGCGGTCCCGGGTCTTCCTTGGTCTCCTCCTGGTTGGGCATGCCTGGAAAACCTCACCGGGCAGGTGTCCAGGAGGCATCCTGACCAGATGCCCAAACCACCTGAACTGGCTCCTCTCCATGTGGAGGAGAAGCGGATCTACTAAGAGCCTCTCTCGGATGACTGAGCTTCTCACCCTATCTCTAAGGAGAGCCCAGCCACCCTGAGGAGAAAACTCATTTGGTCCGCTTGTATCCGTGATCTTGTTCTTTCGGTCACCACCCAAAGCTCGTGATCATAGGTGAAGGTAGGAACGTAGATCGACGGGTCAGCTCTCCCTTCACAACGATAGACCGGTACAACACCCTCATCACTGCAGACGCAGAACCAATCCACCTGTCTATCTCGTGCTCCATCTTCCCCTCACTCGTGAACAAAAAACTCCTCCACTTAGGGCAGGACTTCATCCCTGACCCGGAGAACGCATTCTGCCCTTTTCCGAATCAAGACCATGGTCTCTGATTTGGAGGAGCCGATTCTCATCCCAGCTGCCTCACACTCGGCTGCAAACCTCTCCAGCAAAAGCTGGAGATCACGTTCTGATGAAGCCAACAGGACCACATCATCAGCAAAAAGCAAAGACTCAATCCTCAGGCCACCTAAACAGAACCCCTCAACACCTTGGCTGCACCTAGAAATCCTGTCCAGAAAAGTTATGAACTGAATCTGTGCAGAGTCCAACCCTCACTGGAAATGAGCCTGACTCACTGCCGGCAATGCGGACCAAGCTCTGACACCGGTTGTACAGGGAGCTAACAGACCTTATCAGAGGGTCTGGTACCCCATACTCTCGGAGTACCCCCACAGAGGCCTCTCAGTGGGAGCAACTCCAGATTGGTAGAAAGTCCAACCCATTTTAAGGAAACTAGTTCCAGAGCCAGAGTCATGCATTCAGGTGAGTCCAACTATATTAGCCGGAACCACTCAACCTTACCTCACCCAGCAACTTGGGCTTTTCCCCACCGGAGAGGAGACACTCCACGAACCGAGAGCTAGCTTTTGTAGCCGAGAATCAGACCGCCAAGGTCTCTGCCTTCGGCTACCACCTGACACAACATTAACAAAAATGCTCTAAGCATCTATGATCAATGTGAATTTCATTTGTGTTTTTCTTTTTTAGAACAACATCTAACTTTCTTTTCTAGTCTAAAAAGAAAGTTATGATCAACAGATGAGCAGACTTCATTAAGAGACAGTACAATTCAGATTAAAACACACAGACACACAAAAATAAAAGTAAAAAGACTATTTTAGCTGCATACCTTCTTCTTTTCCATATTCCGGACTTTTTTGTCAATAACACCAAAAAACTGCCTCATGGTCTCAGAGTGACTTCCACTCCCCAGGTCTGGGATGGCACACTGGACAGCATTGTTGCCAACAGCTGCTGAAGGCATCTTAAAGGGAGAAAAAGACATTCAGTATATAATATTGCATAAAAAAGGCAAAACAAAAGCTACCCGTTTAGCTACAAACTCCATTCAAGACCAATTAGGAATATGTCAGCACAGCAGGAAAAAAGTTCCCAATTACGTTGTTCTTGTGATCGTTTGGAAACAAAATTAAAATGATTATTGTAATTGGATTAATTGCAGGTTAGAATTCTTAATGATATAATTATTCCATTACTGCCCCTTATAGAGTTAACTTATTTTAATGGCATTTTACATATGTAGGTGTTGCTGACATTCCACATTTCACCCTTAGGTCCGGTTCCCTCGGTAGAATGACCGTTGTGATTTCTGACCCAATCCTCCTTGACAACAATCTAAAATGATTTTATCAGATAATCCTATCATGTGTGGTGTTTTAAGAGCACTCTGGTCAGGTCATAAGTATTCAGGACCACTTGGATCATAAAGAACATCTAGGATTGTTCAATGGTCTGATTTTCAAGGACAGACATGTAAGTGCTGGCTGTTGAATGTGACGCGTCACAAAGAGGGTAGGATGCTGCTCACTCCTCCGCCGCCATGTTTGTTTACTCTAAAACTCATTTGATCATACCAGATTTCACATCTTACTGGGGAATGTGTGAAACTGGGTCGTTTTTGCTGTGTGACTGATTACACACGTAAAACACATTGTAGGACAAAAACTGGTATGTCTGTGCTTTTTATGTTTATTTATCACCACGTGGTCTTCACGTTTTGAAAATCAGCCACTAACTTTAAAGTCCTTCAGTATCAACCAGGCCTTAGATGGTTGGTGCTTCTCTAAACTTGATGATGGATTAATAAACCCAGGGGTCACCAACTTCAGTCCTCTAGGCCATCATCCCACTTGTTTTACACGTTTACACTAACCTCACTGACATTTCTGTTGTGCAGAGACCTGTTAATTACATTTACATCAGGTGTGTCAAAACAGAAGACACATTTTGCAGAATGACTGTCCTTCAGGCTGGGGTTAGTGGTACCGGCTTTAGACACGGTCATTTTTAAGTTACAAATCACATCTTTTGATTTTTTTTAACCATCATTTGGTCCAGAAAAAAAACATTTGCCCTTTTTTTTCTAAGATTTTATTTTAACAGTTAGATTGACAGAAACTAGCTAATATTATTAAGAAGTTTATTATACAACATGGACATCACCAAATAATCCCCTTTATCAAAACACCACAACTAAGCAGAGAAGCATGCTACCATGAGCAGCAATGACTTTGATTTTTCATATTTCCGTGATTCAAACAGAAGCTCTAAACACATCATGAATTACGGAGTTAAATTCATTTCTGTGCCACTATTTATAGATTATTTGAAGTTTCTGGAAGGAGGAACTGGACAAATAAAATGTCGGCCTCATAATGAAAGTTCAAATTCGGTTAACAGCTAAACCGCACGCGCTTACAGTAATTAGCGTGTATGTAGTGAAGAGGAGCCTCGTGTAAACGGGCAGACTGTGTGTGTTTAGCGGAAACGTTTCACCAAATCAGTTTAACGTACCGCAGAACGGCGTCCCAAAACCTCCGCGTCCCATTGTTAGCAGATAGCATGATCTTTAAAGGTATGCGGCTAACGCCTCAAGTTCACCAAATGACAGCGAAAACTGGCAACTAAATCGATGAAAATGCCCTTAAATGTGATTAAAATCCAAATCTATCGCCGCGTGAGGTTACGTTTGAACTGTGAAAAACAAAGACAATGTGTCGGGACGAGGAGAAAACTCGTTTTTTTTTTTTGTTCAGGCGTTTTAAAAAAAAGATGACAAAATATCGTTAAAATCATACGAAACGGTCATTTATACGCAGGTGACAGGCATCCCCTTACCTTTATACTCTTTGTCTTCAAAGAGATTGGCCTTCCTCGGATTTCACGTTAACTGTGCAGCCGACTCGTACGTACAGTCCGTATCTTTCACTTTAACTGGTGCTTTTCTAGAAAGATGCTCACGCTCAACCGGTGTTGTGCGGAAAACGGCAACCCTGGCCTAATGAGCATTTGAGAGAGCTGTTTTCAGTGCGCGTTTGAATTACGAGACACTCCGTTATTTTGTTTAATATTGCCATGGAAATAACATTTATCAATAAGTTTGTTTTGTGTTTAAAGTATAAGTTAAATTTCATGTGGCTACAGGCTAGTTTATTTGGAGATAAACTAATCTGGGTAACTGTCGTTGTTCCATACATCAAGTAATATGGAGCATAGTTATGGAAATGGAATAAATCAATAGTTTGAATTTTATATTTCTAACTTGTTCCTAGAAAGAAATAAAAAAAATCACGTCCTTTACAATTAATCTGGCAACAAAAATCACTCATTATTAGAATAACTAAATAAATGTGTACATAGGGATTAGTAATTTAGAGTAATAACATTTATTATGATTTTTATTAATTGTTGCGAATGACAGAAATAAGCCGCTTCTCACGATGGGGGGGACTTTTCACGTCAGAGGTGCTTTTTGTTGCAGAACACCAGCGGCTCGCTTTAGCCTACTGGCTGGCAAGGACCCAATGCTAACGCATTCTTCCTTTGATGCTACAACTGCGGTAGTCTAAACACGGGTCAGATACAGTGCTTCCCTCTGCTGGGCATTAGTTGAACTGAGCTGAAAACGTTTAAAAATCAAAAGACAAAAATATTCAGCTTTCAGGGCAAAAATCTTGGAGTGAGATGTCCTTATTTTGATTCTCTGTCAATGTCTTCGTGGTTTATACATTTATTGTGAACTCACAATACATTATTGGTTTTTCTGTTTAAAACACAAATGTGTACATTTTTAAATATAATTTCTACCTCTGTATGAATGTCTCTGTGTTATTTTTTTCTGTTGTAGTTGGGTAGTTATTGGCCCTAAACTGATAACTGATAAGTTTATGTCCAACAAGTTTGGTTAGAAACTACACCCATTTAAAATTTATTTTATTTTATTTAACCTTTATTTAACCAGGAATGGTCCCATTGTGATCAAAAAAAAAACTCTTTTACATTTGAGTCCTGGCCAAGAGGCAGCAAAATAATTACAAAGGTAAAAAAAAAATTCAATTACATACACATCACGAAAAAAATTACAATGTAAAGAGTTTGACTGGAATTTTCTCACTCTGGACTCGAAATTTAGTTAGTTTATTAGTTTATAAATGTCTCCATGGTCTTGGACTGTCCTATTTTGCCAACCTTCTTTTAAATTATGAGCCCCACCATGGTCCCGTGGTCCTCCGGTACTGGCCTGTTTGGTCAAACCAAAAGTTCGAACCGAAACTTACGACGAAGCATCACTTTCCCACTATGGCCCTCGTCTGTGGAACAGTCTGCCGGAGAACATCAGGGCTGCTGAAAGTGTTAAAAAAATTTTTTTAAAGAGGCTCAAGACCCACCTTTTTACCTTGGCTTTTATTTAATATATTTAAAAAAATGTTTAGCTCATTTTTTCGTTGTGTCCTGGGTGAGGATTAGGGCATGTGCAAAAAGTTTAGAACTAGTTGTGTCATTTTGATGTGTGAAAGCTGTGGTTTTTGTATTTTTTTATGTAAAGCACTTTGTGCTGATTTTATCATGAAAAGTGCTCTACAAATAAAATTTGCTTTGATTTGAAAAGCGTTTAGTGAAATGAATGCAGTTAAGGTCAAATGACCTACTGAGTTTGTTAAAGTGACGGTGTGTATTTTTCCTGGCGATAGGGGGCAGAAGATACCTAAATTGTTGCAAGTAAGTTGTATTTTTGTGTTGGAGTAAGACTTTACCAATGGATCCCCATTAGGGTCAAAAAGCCCTGGGGAGTGCAAACTTCAGCAATAAAGCACATCAGACTCCCTTTCATCAGTGGCAATGAGTAAAGACGTAAATGTGTAAAATGTTTATAAATGGTAAAAGTTTTGTAACCATTTGTTAAAAATCAATAAATGCATTTTGTCCTCAAGGGCTCCCATAGAAGGAAATATGGTATCTAATATGCCATAGCCCTGAGACTTAGACCCATGTGTTTTACACCAGATTTTTTTAGGTTATATGTTAACTCATTCACTGCCAGCCATTTCCTGATCACTAACGGCCTTTGCTGCCAGCGTTTCTCACCGTTTTTACTGTTTTTTTTAAGAGTCACAGAACATTGCGTGCTAGCATGATGTCGATGCCAAAACAACCAAAACAAAGAGGAGACTCACCTCTTACATCAGGAAGAAGCCGTGTGTTTCGAGCGTTATCCGTTCTTTCATAATCCGTTGTTGAATTGTGATCGGCAGACGCTTTTCCGGTTTGCGCCTCACTTCTTTTACAGGAACGGCCCAAAACGATCTCCAAACACATGGATGGTCTGCTTCCTGATCATGTGATGTGTGACGTTTGCGGATGGAGATCGGCTTCAGGGCTGAGATGTTTGTTCTCTCAGCGCGGGGGCTCGTTCCGATGCTCAAACAGTAAAAAATGCAAATGACGACTTTAGTCGTCAATGGCAGTGAATGAGTTAAGCAGCCGGCTAATATTTTTTTAACAACTGGGCAACATTTAATTCATTTTCAACAACATTTTGATAGAAATTTTCAGAGATTAATGATAAAAACTACACATTGTCACTTTAAGAGTGAAATTCCCCGTGTGTTTGGTTTCACCCTCTGACCGCCAAAGGGCGTATGATCTGATGCATTACTACTGTAGCTTGCTGTCTATAGCAGACACGGAAAAGATGATGTATACTAGATGCATTCTAGCTGAATAGCTCCATAAACAAGTACAGTAACAAAAAAACCTATTATTACAACAACACTATCGTTTAAAATTGATTAATTGTCGTTTAGCTGAATAAAAAGCGAGCCAGAGTGTAGCGCCAGCTTATCGCAACTGGAGGGCAACAATACACCTCATTATGCTGGTGAGGTTCTCCTCTGCCTTCATTTAAGAAGGGTTTAAACTCTGCCTTCATTTAAGAAGGGTTTAAATGAAGGCAACTGGACTTCTTTGGTTTCATCTTTCCTGTACCTATAATGCAGCTTTGAGTCACATTCCTAAGCAGTCTCAGTGTAGGTCACACCTTCCTGCGTTTAATCAACACAAAGACTCTCTCAATAGAAACTAACGGGAGGTAAAGAGGAGGGGTACTCAAAGTAGTTTCTGCTCGTTAAATAACAATAGACAGCTATAGTTTATAACCTTGACTCTTCTATGTTTCAGTCAGAATGGACAAAGCTCCTTGGATGAGAAGCGAAACGTCTCCAAGAAACCAAAGAAGTCCAGTTGCCTTCATTTGAACCCTTTTGGATTCACCTCATTCATACAAATTTTATTAGCTGGTTCTTAGCCATTTGACTCCACGCCACCAATGTGTTTAACACAGTTACATAAATACAAATTTAACTGTGTTTTTAGTAAAATGACAAGAGTCTTCGAACGAATTCCCTTGTTGCTAACAGCATGAATGCTTAGTATTTTATTTTCAAATAATTTACAAGAAGTGTTCACACTAAGTGCAGATTTGTGACTTTGTGAATCTCCTTTGTTTCTTTAATATTAAATTTCCCCAAGGGGACAAAAACAAAGAACACGATTTTATTTGAGCTTCATTGAGATAAGGAGGCTAAAACATTGACTTTTACAGATCTAAAGTGTAGTTGCGGCTTTTCACCGGTAGAGGGCAACAATACCCCTCATTCGTGAAAAGTCCAATTGTAACTGACTGGTTTAGTTGTTTGACTCACACAACCATCATGTTTAATGCTGTCACACAAATACAGTTGTAAATGAGGCTCTAACTAAATAATAATAGAAGCTATCATGTAAGTTTTTGGTCTGTGAGAGGAAACAGTGTGCCCAATAAAACCATATATAAATAAAACGTACACTAACCAGTCCATGAATGCTTTTACTTTTGTTTTAAATTAGCAAAATATACATCCAAATTTTGTTGTGATTTTAAAAAGCAGCTTATACAATTTCAGTGTTCAAAGTAGTTTATTGTGACAAAAACGAAAAAGATTTTCCACTTGTGCAGCTGAAGTCTCTCCAGTTGCAGAACCTTAGACCACACCTGGAGGAAAACATAAAGCCGCTTGGTGTGAAGTATAAAACAAACACACTGCTATAATTACTGAGCCTGATCAGCAGATTGAGCCTTATTGAGAGATGCCACATTCACCTTTCTGTGCTTCAGTATTTATTTGTTTAGCAAGCGGGGCGAGCACATGCATGTGAGGCAAAGAGCAGATTTGATAAACCATCTGCAGTGTTTCTACTTTAACACTCATGCTTCGACGCCTCCGAAATCAAATGTAAATGGAAAATTGCGTCAATATGTATGGTGTTGGGTGACATTCTGAAAGTCGGTCTTCGTGAAAATTAAATAATTATTATTTTTTGTACATAATAGACTAAATGATGGCATCAGTTATTTATAATTAATCAGAGATTTGTGTCTGATAATCGGAGGTGTCCCATTTGATTCATGCGACCGGTTGTCTGTCCTGTCTGAGACTTTCTAAAGCGAGTGAGGTTCTCTCGGATGTGGGCTGCTGAGTAGTGGTCGTACATCCTTCACTCTCTTGCTGCACATCTGACTGGATTAAACATGTAAAACGGATTTATAGACTGAAAACCCACGAACACGTTAGCCTTACACCAGGCAGGCACACAGATTCATCCTGATCCTTATTGTTCTCTCCTCATCCTGCTTCATCTCATTCAGATAATGTTGATAAAAGCCTTCCTTAAGGTAAGGTCAGGGTTGTGATTGCTTTTTGAGATGCAAACAGGTACCACTGACCCCCCTTTCCCCTTCTCAGTTATTTGGCAGCATTAATAATTCATGACCCACGTGTGTTTGAATCAGACAGCGAGCATCTTCACTCAGCCGCCACAATTATCATCATCAAAGATGAAGAACTTCATGCAAATGAGACTCAAGTACCTTGAATCTGGAGCAAGTTCAAAGTTAGATTTGTTTATAGTTGAGTTCCCATAAGTGTTCGAATTTAAAGCCAAATGCTGCTGCCGTCTTT